CCAAAGTCTCTAGTCCCATTTTCTGTAATGTAAAAATCGCAATTCTTTCGAGAAATTCGACTACAAATATACCACTTTAAATGGATTTTCGTTGTCTAGTCATTTATAGAATTCGTAAAGACAAAAGAAACTGACTTTTAACGATGTAGCTCATTAGTAAAGCTTTTGCCTAAGTGGGTAAGCGAGAGGTGGCGGGTTCGAATCCCGGCTCAACTCAACTCCAATCCAATTTCAGTTCAAATCCCCGAAAAAGTCCCTAGCTATTAGATTTTAGAAGAATCTACATTTTAAGCTGATTTCTTTGATTAGATCCACTCTAAACAAACAGGCAAACAAAAGAATGGGTCCTTTCTCTCTTTTCAGAATGGAATGAGGTCCTTTCTCTCTTTTCAGTTATCCCTTATTTGGTCAAAGATATACAGAAGCATCTCCCAAAAAAGGGAAAAGCTTTGAAGTATGCCCACACAAATGATTGTAAATACATTCGGAAGATGAATGGAGTAAAGAGAAAGATAAAAAGGATGGCCTCACCTTTATTTAGATGAAGATCATCAATCATTTAGAAAAGGAAATGAAGGAAAACTTTTGGCTAGATTGCTTTGGGCTTCGGGCAAAGGCTAGATTGGGTTACTATGATTGAATCGGTGATAGCTCTGACTTCTGAATAGTTTTTTTAAAGCTCTATAACTTGTATGAGTCTGGTTGAGAGTTGCTTATGAGCAAAAGTTTCATTTGAATGGATTGGAATTGGGATTGAGCAGGAATGAGCTTGAGCAGAAATCAGATTGGGCAGGAATGAGATTGAGCAGGAATAAGATTGGGCAGGAATGAGATTGAGCACGAATCAGATTGAGCAGGAATAAGATTGGGCAGGAATGAGATTGAGCAGGAATGAGCTTGGGCAGGAATCAGATTGAGCAGGAATGAGATTGGGCAGGAATCAGATTGAGCAGGAATGAGCTTGAGCAGGAATCAGATTGGGCAGGAATCAGGTTGGGCAGGAATCAGGTTGGGCAGGAATCAGATTGAGCAGGAATGAGCTTGAGCAGGAATCAGGTTGGGCAGGAATCAGGTTGGGCAGGAATCCGGTTGGGCAGGAATCAGGTTGAGCAGGAATGCGATTGGGCAGGAATCAGATTGAGCAGGAATGCGATTTAAATTAGAGTCTACTCTGGAGTGTACTTTGTGCTCGCAAAAATGCAAATGCACTCTTTTCAACCGAATTTCAGATAAACACTCTACAGAGATCAACGAAAAAATCAAAGCTGACATTGGGTTTAAATTGAAAAAACAAACCCGTCACTGACAAATCAAAGAATTACAATTGTCGGAGTGTTGAAGGTGAAACTCGATTAATCTCTGGTAATTTGTAACTCTGGTAACGCGATTAATCTCTGGTAAAAGCCTATTTCTGTTAAATTTTTTGCAAATCCATGATCAATGGACGTTGCACAAAGCCAAACAAAAAGTTAAGCGTTGAAAAAAAGTTTGTTTCAAAGTTTTCATCTAATCGAGCTGATTTTTTGCTGTAATCATGAGCTAAAGCAAAAAAAAATTTATACTATTGAACAGATGCAATAATTTCAGAAAATTTCCTCTAATTAGACCTACCGTAAATACTGTAATAGTACCCCACCCCCATAATGACAGTGCGGACTGTTGCGTAGTCTAGCTTTGAAGGAGTTTTTCTCGACACTGGTTTATGCTACAATGCGCGCTTAGGTACCAAAAAATAGCTGAAATTCAGGGCTATTTTTTGATACCAAAGACGCATTTTTTGAAAGTACGAGCGCTTTGTAAAAAGAAAGAAATACTAAAAAACTTTTGCGACTACGCGCCTGTACGATGGGGTACGAAATGTCATTTTCTATCCGCTTTCCATGTTTAAATATCCATTCGCCACAGAAAAATGTCCTGAATTGAATGATGATTACATAAAAGCAGATCAATTCAATGGCATTTGATTAAATCTTTAACGAATACCTTAAAAACTTTTGAGCCTAAAAAGTCTGGGTTTAAAAATTGGTCCTAGGCACAGCTCTGATTAATAGCATTTATTGAGCGTTACTTACCGTAAATACTGTAATAGTAGTCCACCCTGATGCGGAGTGTTCCGTAGTCTTAGTTTTAAATGTTTTAAATCTCGTTTTAAATGCTTTCTCGACACTGGTTTATGCTACAATGCGCGCTTAGGTATCAAAAAATAGCTGAAATTCAGGGCTATTTTTTGATACCAAAAACGTATCTTTTGAAAGTACGGGTGCTTTGAAAAAAATGAAGTACTAAAAAACTTTTGCGACTACGCGGCTGTACGCGGGGGGGGGGGTACTATTATAGTATTTACGGTAATCTCTAATTAGACTTTGGAGTTGACTTAGAGTCTACTTTTGTGTCTATGAATATTACTAAAAAACGCAAAAAGTCACTTGTAATCCTTTAACTTGAAAATAGAATGTTTCTTTCGATTAATTCACTTTCTAAAAGAAATCTATTTTTAGAAAACTACCGTAATCCATCAGTTTTTATTTGACCAGCCCATCAGCCATTTGATTTGGTATCATTGGGTATCTTTGGATATCATCTAGGGTTACTTTAGCAGTGAAATCAAGCGATAAGACTCATTCAAAAATATATGTTTCAATGTTTTTGATATATCGTTGGTCTTTTAACGAGCAATAATTTCCTCTTTCATCAATCCTTGTGATTATGGTAGTTTCAACTTAACACATTCACGATAAATTCTTTTTTGGCTGCTTTTTTGGCTCTTTCGGACGACAGCTATCTATGTTAGCTGCAAATTTGTAACCAAAGGCATTCTGGGATGGAAAATCTGAATCCGTTATTAGTTTTTGAGCAACTTGCAACAAGCACCAGCAACGGCAACAAGCAACAACAGCAACAGCAACAACAGCAACAAGCAACAACAGCAGCAACAAAGCAACAACAACAGCAACAACAGCAACAAGCAACAACAGCAACAGCAGCAACAACAACAGCAGCAACAACAGCAACAACAACAGCAACAACAGCAGCAACAACAACAGCAACAGCAACAAGCAACAACAGCAGCGACAACAGCGAAACAACAGCAAAACAACACAAAACAACAGCAACAACAACAGCAAAACAAATCAACAACAACAGCAACAACAACAGCAACAACAGCAACAACAACAGCAACAACAACAGCAACAACAACAGCAACACAACAGCAAAAAACAGCAACAACAACAGCAACAACAACAGCAACAACAACAGCAACAACAACAGCAAAACGCAACAAAACAGCAACAACACAGCAACAACAACAGCAACAACAACACAACAACAACAGCAACAACAACAACAACAACAACAGCAACAACAGCAGCAACAACACAAGCAACAACAGCAACAGCAGCAACAACAGCAACAACAACAACAGCAACAACAGCAACAAGCAACAACAGCAACAACAACAGCAACAACAGCAGCAACAACAGCAGCAACAACAGCAGCAACAACAGCAACAACAGCAGCAACAACAGCAGCAACAACAGCAACAACAGCAGCAACAACAACAGCAGCAACAACAGCAACAACAACAGCAACAACAGCAGCAACAACAACAGCAACAGCAACAAGCAGCAACAGCAACAAGCAACAACAGCAGCGACAACAGCAGCGACAACAGCAGCGACAACAGCAGCGACAACAACAGCAACAACAGCAGCGACAACAGCAGCGACAACAACAGCAACAACAGCAGCGACAACAGCAGCGACAACAACAGCAACAACAACAGCAACAACAAAAACAGCAATCTCCAAGCCAATCATCACAAAACTCTAAAAATTTGAGTAATTAAACCGAATGAAATATCCAAAAATAGCCGCTTTCTTTAAAAATAAATAACGGATTCGAATTCCTCATCCTCGAAAGCCCCTAATTGCAAAATTTCAGCCCAATTTTGTTTTTCTTTTTTGTCTTTTTAGTTTTGTGCAGTGATGTGACGCTTTTGCAAATTCTAATCACAATTTGAGTACAATACTTTCTAATGTCTTTTAGAAAACTAACTATTTAATGTAAATCTTAAACTTTCTACACCTAACGTCGTACCGTAACCCGATCCTCATAAATGATTTATTTGAGTGACTCATTGCGTAATCGTTTCCCCCCAATAATCGGTTGTGTAAATATGAAAGCAAAAAAGAGGAGAAAAGAGGGGGAAAGAGGGAAAAAGAGGAGAAAAGAGGAGAAAAAGAGGAAATACTTAGAGAGAAGTGACTCTCTACTTCAAATTCTAATTTATTTGCTTACTCGGTATTCTGTTACCAGCCGACCTTTCTCTCTTCTTTTTGTCTTTTTCTTAGAACTTGTTGGACATTTGAAGCCAAAATAAATGCAGATATTGACATATTTTGACCGATTAACCCGATTAGGCTTACAAGTTTTTGTTGCTTTTTTTTAGTTGCTTAAAACTTGAGAAAATTTTGCTGAATTTGCTCTCTTTCTCACGAATTCCATCAAAGTTCATTTCTTTCATTTCCCGGGAAAATTTCCTAGAATCTCATATTTGTTTGTGTTTGTTATTGTATTGAAAAACGGGGAATTGCTGGGGCATTGGGCGAAAGACATTGAAATATGAAATACACTGAAATTAGATCCACCAATCCATTCCCATTCATTCAGCACACAAAAATTCACAATGAATCCTCGGGCCCCAAATACACAGTCATATTTCCGTGCGGAAAAAAGGAAAAATACGATTTTTCTTTCATCCGAAAAAGCTGAAAAGCTGAGAAAATTTTCACAAAGCAAAGAAAGATTTTGCAAGGCACGAATCGGCTTTTTGCGTTTCAAAATTTTGCATCTGTTTTCAAATTCGAAAACGAGCTTAACAAGGAAAACTGAAAAAGGAATTAGGTGGAAAAAAAACGATTTTTCAATCAATTGTTAGAGTAGTTTCTACAATGACTCTGAAAATTTGGAAACAAAACTTTTAAAACTGAAGATGTGGCCGAAAGTCAAAAGATTTTTATGTAGATAAAGCATGAAAAGGTTCTGATAAGCGGTTCTCGAGATTTCGAGCAATTTAGGCGACGCTCAGGGTGCACTAGCTGACGATGAGATCTTGTGGGGTGCTGATTGAGTGTTAGAGTGTTGAGCTTCTGAGAAAGCTTGGAAACCGTAAAATAGTCACCAACTCGGCTCGCCCGGGTGCACTACTATTAGAGCGAATACGGTATATATATATATATGTTGTGTCCGATTTAGATTTCCGTCCGATTTAGATTCAATCTAAATCGGACGTCCGATTTAGATTGAACTTATCGCGGACGTCCGATTTAGATTACAGTCTATATCGGACGTCCGATTTAGATTCAATCTAAATCTTATATGGATTGAACAATAATATAAACATGCTTAATATATGTTCTTAAGCGTTTTCTGTAGTTTTCTGCATTTTTCAAAGGTCTTTTATTGATTACAGTCGATATCGGACGTCCGATACAGACCGAACAATAATAAACGTGCTTCACATATGTTCTTTGAAAATTTCTTTGAAAAGCGCAGAAAATTGCAAAAAAACGCTTAAGAACATATATTAAGCACGTTTATTATTGTTCGATCTGTATCGGACGTCCGATATAGACTGTAATCTAAATCGGACGTCCGCGATAAGTTCAATCTAAATCGGACGGAAATCTAAATCGGACACAACATATATAAAGAATAATAATCGCTTTCAGGTCCTGAATAAAGTATCTATACGCTGAAAGCTAAGATTTTTCTTCATATACCGTATTTTCTCTAATAGTAGTGCACCACGCCGAACCGAGTTGGTGACTATTTTATGGTTTCCAAGCTTTCGCAGAAGCTCAACACTCAAATCCCCCACAAGATCTCATCGTCAGCTACATTTTCCGATCCCACATCGATAGGTTCTGATAAGCGGTTCTCGAGATTTCGAGTAATTTAGACAAATTTAGACGACGATCTAGGTGCACTACTATTAGAGAAAATACGGTATATAAATTGTAAGCAAAAATATGCAATATCAAAGATACCTAAAGTCCCCATAATCCTGAACAATCCTGTACAGTCGACAAGTGGATATATCGAGAAAATCGTTATCTAGAAGTGAAAAAAACCAATGCTTTTAACTCAAATGGTTATATCAAAGTTACAATAAAGATAACAAAGTTTCCTCAGAAAAAAGTTATCAAGAATAGTTCTGGTGGTTAACTTTTATATAGCCTTTTATAGTTGTAGTTGTTTTATAGTTTTATAGTATAGTTGATCAAAAATATCATTTGAAGCTAACAACTGTTTGAGTTTGACAGTGAAATCGGCTTTTGATAGAAATAGAAATAGAAATTGCCTTTCGATTTCGTTTAAAAAAAATTGACCTGCTCCATTAGCGCCAGACGAATGGCGCTTAATTCGTCCAACTTTGAAACATCCATTTTTTTGTTTAAAGAATTTTCTTTTAATTAATTCAGCAGTTTCTGCAAGTTAATGCTATAAAATTAAAAGAACTTGATTAGATAAAGCTCTCTATTTAGCAGACGAAAACTAGAAATCTCTAAATTTAATAGTTTACATAACTTACATACCTCTACATAGTTTTTACTTGATCTTAGATCTTTAGCACTCTAGTCAAGTGATAGTTAAACTAAAAGTTAACTTTCAGAAAGTATTTCCCCAGCCCAATTGACCACTCCTCTCCGCTTTTTGCACAACGATTGGGAATTGGGGACCGGGATACGATAGCCCAATGGGCGGAGTTTAGGGAGAACCTGTGGCCAGCGCTGGCCACCCCTAGCCCACCCCAAAATTGCAGGCCCTCAGGTGGGCACTCGTCTCGAGAGGCTCAATCCACTAGAGACCAATCTCGACGCTACAATCCCCCCAACGATCTAATATGTTCAACGTTCAAACTCTCGCCGGCTCATCGGCAACAACATCGACACCGGCGACTTTCAATCCAACACCCGGCATCGATCAAAAGGAAACAAAGTGAGTAAGGGGTTGCCCGAACACACTTGAGTTTGAGTGTGTGTGTGTGTGTGTGTGTGTGTTTGAAGGGGTTGAGTGCGGAGCTCGATGCCAATCTTGAGAGATTCGAGATTGGAGATCGAGAGTTTCTCCAAAAGGCAAAAGAATATCCAACATCGTGTCGCATCTCTCATCGGTTGAATCAAAAGTTGAGATTTGGCTTTTTGCGGATTTCTCTTGGAACTTGATAGAAAGAATTTAGAACTCTACTTTTAGATTTTAGAACTCTAGTTTTAGCTTTTAGAACTCTACTTTTAGGTTTTAGAAATCTACTTTTAGGTTTTAGAACTCTACTTTTAGCTTTTAGAACTCTACTTTTAGGTTTTAGAACTCTACTTACTATTATAACTTTTCTTAGTTTATTCTTTTGCATTACTTTTTATTTGGATTCGCTAAATTCACTTATTCGGAGCTGAAGTTGCTCACTCTCGAAAATAAAGTTTCAAAACTTTCAACATTACCTTTCGTGAAAAAAATCAATCATTCAACCAATTCTTCAATCAATCAATCAATCAACTATTTGGAGCTCAAGTTGCTCACTCTCAGAAAAAAAGTTTCAAAACTTTCAACATTACCTTTTTATGGAAAAATCAATCACTAATTGTGGGCAGTTGTTGAGCCTGAGCGTGTGTGTGTGTGTGTTTGTTGTTTTGAATTCGCTGGTAATGTCGATTTCTATTTGTAGACAAAATTTCAGCCAAGAATCAGCCAAGAAAATGAAGGTGGAATTAGGTTCGGATTGGAATTTTCCTATGTCTAGCAGTTACTATGAAAAATACATGTTTCAGTCTATTAATGTTTTCCGAAACATACATACATGAAAGTCTATTATCTATCATTAGAAAGTCTATCATCTATCATTAGAAAGTCCATCATCTACCATTAGAAAGTCTATCATCAATTCTATCTCAAACGAAAGCCTTCTTAGCCTTCTTAACTGCCTAACGCTTACTTTGAAGCAGTTAGAATTAAAACTTTTCTTTCGAAAGGCTTAGAGCTTTAGGCCAGGTCATAAGTCATTGAAAAAGTCAAAGGTGATTTGCTGAAACAAAGTCAAAGTCAATTTTTCCCAATCTCATCTAGAATAGTCTCTTGTTTCACTAAAGAGACTCAAACATTGACTATGCCAATTAAATATGATTGTTTTACTTTAATCTTTCTTTTTTCCCATCAAATCCCTCTTGAACTTTCCCTCGAAGATTGAGTGTCTCTCCTCTTCAATTCGAGATCCATGTCGAGATGATGTCGAGTTGAGAACACACTTCAAGTCGTTCCCCTCATCCATCCACCTTTCATTCATCCACAATTCGGTTTAGTTATTTGATTCATTTCATTTTTTTCATTCATTCATTTACCAACAGCTTTATCTGTCATTCAGATTTCATTAAAAGATTCATTTCAAAGCCATTTTCCCAAAGCAATACCTTTTTTTGAATACCTCCTTTTGTTTTGAAAGAATCTTATCTAATCCATAGCTTTATTTGCCTAGAGCCTAAGCTTTACTTATAAATTCGACTTACAAGTCAACTTATAAACAGTTGGTTTTATTGCCATTTTTTGGCTCTCCCGCCCTTTACTAAAATAGCTGTAAAAACTTTTGGAAAAGAGATATCTCAAAACGGTTTTTACCAATCGATCCGTCTTGAATTCAGCTTTAGGATGAGCTATAAAACGTCAAAATTGGACAAATTTAAGGTACTCTCCCAAAAAATCGGAAAGGACTTTTCCATCAACCCAATAGTTATATACATTTTTGCAACAATACATCAAAACATCTCTTTTTCAGTTGATTTTATATTGATTCACTTTATTGATCAAATCATTTCTTTCTGAGTAAACTAGCTACCAAGTATCCAAATTTTTTGCAGTTACATTTATGTTTCAAAAATTTTAAGTACTTGTAAAAGCAATTAGTTACAATTAGCCAATCGAAAAGCTTCAAAAGGGTTTATTCCATTCAGTCATTCATTTCCAATCCATAAAGCCAATCGAAAAGCTTCAAAAAGGCTTATTCCATTCAGTCATTCATTTCCAATCCATAAAGCCAATCGAAAAGCTTCAAAAAGGCTTATTCTATTCAGTCATTCATTTCCAATCCATAAAGCCAATCGAAAAGCTTCAAAAAGGCTTATTCCATTCAGTCATTCATTTCCAATCGAGCATTTCCAATCCATAAAGCCAATCACAGCTTTCTTGCAAACAGTGCTTAGAAAAAAATGATTGAAAAGTGGCAAAAAAGGCCGATTTTTCATCATTTTTCAATCATTATTTCTAAGCACTGGTTGATGCTAAAAATATGTGTTATATCTCAAAAAATCACCCATCATCTCTACTTTAATTTGATACCTAAGCGCACAGAAATAAACGTACTGGTGTCGAGATATGAGTGTTTGTTTCAGAGTAAACTAGAAGGTGCTTCTATTAGAGTATTTACGGTATAAAAGATACGATTGATACAAATTTCAGACCTGATCTTTTCAAATGGGAAGTGCCAACCATTACCACATCGGCAACTGCAGCCACACTTGATCCACTTGGTGCAACTTCGCAGTCACTCGTCTCGCACACTCTAGCCGCTCAGAATGGAGGCTCGTGGACCGATCATTTACCCTTATTGGCAGGTTGGAAAGAAAACTTGGAAGTGAAACTTTCAGCTTTAAAAACTAGAGTTTCTAGAACTAGAATCAATGTCGGCTCGTTTGAAACACCATTTTTAACTCCATTATCAACTTGATAGACTTATTTTAAGAACTTTCATTTATTTAATTTTTGTATTTCGATAGAATACAATTATCTTAATACAGCAATAATTCTACTTAACATCTTCATCGAATTTTAAGGTCTACAGCTAACATTTCAAGGTCTACAGCTAACATACAGCATGATCAAAAAGTTCCACTTTACAAAAAAGCTCCATTTTTCAGCTAAAACCCAGATCAAAATTCGACTTACTATAGAGTATTTTGAAGCTGAGATTCTGGGGAGTATTTCTACACCAAAAACATCTTGATCAGAGCTATCTAGCTCTCCAAAGAAGCATTGTAGTGCGCTGGAGAAAATCGCGCTCAACGATTTGAACCTGTTTTCAAATGAAAATTTCTTCAAAAACCCTTTTTAAATGTATACTTTTGTTTTAAATAACAGTTCAATTGTTATTTTAAAAAAATAAAATCTCTCGTCAAAATAAAAACGTAGAATAGTCATTGAAAACGAGTGAACTTTTTGATCACTCTGAGCTGAGCTGTCGAGTGTCTGAGCTGTCGTCCGAGCCAAAAATGACTTTGTCGTCAATGTGTTAATAGCGAATTTCTTTGAAACCGATTTTGCTATCTCATTGAAAACTTGCGAAACTGTGTTTTTTTGATTGGCGATTTGCCTTGAATGCAGTGCAGGCTAGGAATTTCTCATAAAATTGATTTCCTTATAGAAATGTTCATCAAAAATCTCAGCTTCAAATTCTATATTTGTTTGTTTTAGCTTTCATAAAGAAAATGAATCATTTACAAGTGTTCGGGAACTTTTTGATCACTTTGAGCTGAGCTGTCGAGTGTCTGAGCTGTCGTCCGAGCCAAAAATGACTTTGTCGTCAATATGTTAATAGCGAATTTCTTCAAAACCCATTTTGCTATCTTTTATCAGCATCATTTTCAGTTGCACAGCTTAAATTATGCCAAAAACTGCCATTATTGCCAAAAAAGAAATCACAAATAAGCTATTCTCTAGCATTTATTGATTGTTTTTGTAATACCGTATTCATTCTTTATTTTGCACTAACTTTAAATGATAAGTAGTGTACGGTAGTCACTAACAAGTAGCGTACGGTAGTCACTAACAAGTAGCGTACGGTAGTTACTAACAAACAGTGTACGGTAGTCACTAACAAATAGTGTACGGTAGTCACTAACAAGTACTGTACGGTAGTCACTAACAAGTAGTGTACGGTAGTCACTAACAAGTAGTGTACGGTAGTCACTAACAAGTAGCGTACGGTAGTCACTAACAAGTAGCGTACGGTAGTTACTAACAAACAGTGTACGGTAGTTACTAACAAGCAGTGTACGGTAGTCATGAAATGATAAAATTTCCGAAAAGTTGACGCGCGATAAGTGCTAATTGGGGTTACTGTAGATTGGAAAAGAGAAAGGGAGTGAAAAGGAGTGAAAAGGAAGAGAGAATTTTTGGGAAAAGGCTTTCGTTTGTCCACATCGATGCGCTCCATCCCCAGCTTTTGGTAGGTGTAAAAAGATGAGGGGGAAATGAAAGCTGTTTTCAAAAGGGGAAAGCTGTTTTCAAATTTGAGCTAATAACGCGAAATGGGAAGCAAAAAAAGCAGTCTATTAGCTGAATATCAACCCAGCCATTGTAATTTTATTTATTCACACGAATAATATAATTTAAATACATTTATTCACACGAATAATCAAATTCAAATAAAGCAAAACTTGCTTTACTTTCTACAAATCCCAAATTTGTTTATTTGGGATTTGTAGAAAGCAAAATTTGATTGCTTTATTAAATACTTGTGATTTACTGAAGAAAGTGCCCAGCTTAGCTTTGAAATTTAAGGACTTTAAACCATTAGCAATTTCAATTTTAAACACAATACGATAGCGGATCCATTAAGCATTAAGCATTAAGCATTAAGCATTAAGCTAATGCCATTATGCCAAATCTACCCATTAGCCATAAATATTCCCTCGTGGCTGGACCATTTACCCTTATTGGCAGGTTGGAAAGAAAACTTGGAAGAGAAACTTTCAGCTTTAAAAACTAGAGTTTCTAGAACTAGAATCAATGTCAGCTCGTTTGAAACACCATTTTTAACTCCATTATCAACTTGATAGACTTATTTTAAGAACTTTCTTTTAGACTTTAAACCATTAGCAATTTTAATTTTAAACACAATCCGATAGCGGATCCATTAAGCATTAAACACTAAGCTAATGCCATTATGCCAAATCTACTCATCTTAAGCCTAGATTAGGCTCCATTTTAGCGTTATCAACGATTGTACAATGAAATCGTGTGCCTAAAGCTAAGCCTAGAGCCAATTCAACCCCAAAGTCACCTTTAGTTTCACCTGTAAAGCTTCGTTCGTTCAAATCGTTAAACCTTAGCTTAGAGATCATATAAAACCTGGAGTCTTCAGAGAAATGGGAAATCGAAAAGACGCAGAGACTTTTGAAAGCTACAGATTCCCCAGATTTCTGTGTGTGGATATCGAAAGTCCAGCAGTGGCCCCGCTTTTTTTTTTTTTCCCCAAAGGATCGGTGGAGTGCTTGTGCTTTCCCCCGAAAGATCTCTCGAAAGAAAAGCGCAAACATCGTGAGTAGACGAGAAGGGAAATGGAAAGAAGGGGTACAGAAGGGATGAGGACATTTGGGGGAAAAGGGGGATGCGCTGGACACAATATCTTATCGTTTTCGTCTTTACGGGGGTGATCGATATTGGAAATAGGTTCATTTAGAAATTAGAAGCTAATGTTAGCTGAATATCTTTAAATAGCTATGTGGAAATTGCTTAATTCTACAGTAATCCTTTCCCCATTATCTAATGGGAAAAGGATTACTGTAGAATTTGGGAAAAGGACTTTTGGGGATTGGGAGCAGGCTTGTAAGCGGAAAAAAAGATGAAAATTGAATATCCTTTGATTTTCAAAGCAACGAATTGGGCAGCTACGCGCTGCGGAAAAAATTGCAGCCGCCAATTGTAGCTGCCTTATTTGTATCGATGATTTTTCCCGATGAATCTCTCGAAGCTAATCTTTTTGTCCAAATGTAGGAAAAGAATAAACAGTTTCACTTTTTTCATACAAGACAGAAAGGAAAAGAAAATGCTATAAGAATTTGTGAAAAGAAACAAAAAACATTTGGCAAAGAGGATCCGAACCCACGACAAAGAAACTCCACCAGTCCTGTAGACCATCACTCTATCCACTACACCACGACTCCCGCTTGAGGAGCCCGCATAAACTCGACTCAAGAGCGTATAGCAAAAACTTTGGGGCTAAAAATCTTGCATTTGAGAGCTATTTGGCAGATTTTGCTTACAGATTCGGAATCGCCATTGAATTTTCTATCGGATGAGCTAGGTCTTGTTTCGAAGTCTAATACTCTTCCCTAGTTAGCGCAATTCTTTTTTCTACAGTCTCATTTAGTGGAAACAGGGGTATTTCTTTGAAAATTTACTCAAACACAACCAACTTCTGTGGCAGTGAATCAAATGAAAGCATTTTAAGGCGGAACAAATCGATTGAGCAAATAAGTAGATGAAAGTTTTTACAAAACGCTTGCACCCATCCGGTTGATCATTGATTGATCAGCCCATTGATCATTGATTGATCATTGATTGATCATTGATTGATCATTGATTGATCATTGATTGATCATTGATTGATCATTGATTGATCAGCCCATTGATCAGCCCATTGATCAGCCCATTGATCAGCCCATTGATCAGCCCATTGATCAGCCCATTGATCAGCCCATTGGTCAGCCCATTGATCAGCCCATTGATCAGCCCATAAGTGATCATTAAGTGCAGTGAAACTTCTTTTCTTTGAAATAAACAATATCTCATCTCACAGCCAGGCTTACAAAGACTTGCAATCTTCTATAATATATAGTTTCAAAATTTTCAAATTTCAAGAATGATCGATTTTCCAGTTTCAGGCTACCCGTCAGCCACGCATTTTTCCCTCGATGGACCCGCGAGTACCGCCTATATGGCCTACGATCCGGCATATTTCCAAGCCGGCGCATGTAAGTTTTTTAAACCAATAAGAACTTGTGCCAAAAATTAGATTCTGTTGGCTCGTGTTCTTTTCTCAAAAAAAAGTTTCAGTTGCAACAAAAACTGTAAAAAAACTTGAAATCTACATTTTTTTTCAACTCTTTTGTCTTTAGATTTGTAGTTCTTCAAGAAGGAGATTGTAGAAGCGCAATTGTAGAAACGCAATTGTAGAAATAATCTTTGTAGATTGCAAATTGTAGAAATCTTTTAGTTTTTAGTTTTAGACCTGAAAAACGCTTTCAGTAGCTACTTTTACATTCCAGTCTTTATAAATTTCCAATGTAAAGGTTCCAGCATTGTATATTCAAAGAACTAGAACTTTGTCCAGCATTGTATATTCAAAGAAATAAGTTGAAAGCCGATCTTTTCTTGTTTCCCGGTGATGAATCGCACCCTAACTTGCTTCCAATTGCAATTATATAACTTCTAATATTTAAGTGAACTTTTTGTGTGTGAATAGTGACTTTCTTGAGAAAAGGAAAGAGCTTCAGGGAAAGAGCTATTTTTTCATTCAGCTGTTTTTTCATTCAACTGGTTTTTCATTCAGCTGTTTTTTCATTTCAGTGCCTTCATCCTCGCAAATGTACTCCCTTCCGCCGGCTGATCCATTCACTCAACCATCAACACTAACCACTTCCACGCAAAATGCTGATGAGAAGCGAACGGTGGAAACGGGTGGAAGCGAAGTGAAGATCGGGTTTGATTTTTAGAACTAATGAATTCTTAGCGAAATTTATATCTTCAACAAATTAAAGGCTTTGAATTTGAAGCAATCAGAGCGTTTTTTTTGGGATTAGCAGAGCTCTATCGAGTTTGCTTCACTGAAATTAAAAGTCGATCTAGATCTATTAGGTTGGCGGAAAAATAATGCGAATTCCTACTTCAAAAAACAATAAATAAAGAGGATTAATATAAAGGGTATTCTCTATCATTATCTAGGCAATCATGCCATCTTTTGCTCAATTCAATAATTCTATCTTCAAAGAACTGGGGAGTTTTTGACGAAAAATAGTTGGTGACCGCATTTTCGACTTTCTGGGAATCCTTGAACCGCTGATCGGAGATGAACTGCTTTAGAGATCTGAATAAGTGGTAGTCTGATGGGGTCAAGTCAGGGCGAGAAAAAGAGACGGCGACGTGTTCTTTGTGCGGTCTTTGTGCGGGTGCGTAATCGCTCACCGTCTGGCGAAGGATCTTTCCATACCTTCCCCTATTCCGGTGTGAACGTATTCGAAGGGTTCATTTCTTTTGTTCACTTTGACGCATGTCGACGCCCACTCGGCGCAAAACTTTCAGGTCCCCGGTACTGCAGAGGCAAGACAGATTTTCCAAGCTTAAAGTCACAGAGTAAAGCAGCTCAAATAGAGAATTTTTGTTCCGCAATTTTTGATAACAAATGAACAAATGTTTTCGAATAATATTATGATTTTGTAAGCAAACACACTCTGCTTCTCTGTTACTATCGCGGTTTTCTCTGTTTTTCTGCCATTACTTTCCCAAGAGCACAAGTTAAAAAATCGCATTATTTTCCCGCCAACCTGAAAGTCTTTTCATTCTCTTTCGTACAGTTTAAAACCAACAAAGAAAGGCCAATTATTTTTCATTTTTTGTTTCATTAGAAAGGCTAATAGCAGTTATAAATATTATTTTAATAGCAGTTATAAATATTATAAAGAATCGTTTTTCAGGATCAAACAAATCGAGTGCGATAACGAGATCGCTGAAGAGATTGAGGAAGATGATCCGAGTGGAGGTGAGCAAAATTAAGTGCCGTATTTCTTCGAATAGAAGACCGGGTAAAGAGTATGATCGCGTACTCCTGCGTAGCAGCCCTTTTTAAAATTTCTTTTCTGCATAAAAGCTTTCAACCAAGTGCTATAGGGCTGGAAAATGACTCAAAAATACCACATGAGCTAACAGATTTTTGAGCCATTCTCCAGTTCTATAGCACTTGATTGAAAGCTTTTATGCAGAAAAGAAATTTTAAAAAGGGCTGCTACGCAAGAGTACGCGATGATACTCTTTACCCGGTCTTCTATTCGAAGAAATACGGTAACATATTAACGTTTATAACATAATAACGTTTATAACAAACAAAACATCAACAAAAATGCATGCGGAACCAATTGAAGATCAATTAAGTCGACTTGGTAGCGTTCATTTTGCTCCTTCATTATGATCGGCTTCACAAAAACTCCTTTTTGGCGTCCCCTTCTTTAATTCGGCTAGCCGGCTAAACGGCTAGCGAAAGATTTTAAACGATTTTAAAAAGAGCTGCTACGCACTGATGTACTGAGTACGCGATGATACTCTTTACCCGGTCTTCTATTCGAATAAATACGGTATAAAAGCACAAGAAACTCGTTTTTCAAGAAAATCTACAATCAGATTTAATCGAAAGTTGTAATCTTAAAGGGTTCTTTTCTTTATTCATTTCTTTATTCATTTCTTTATTCATTTCTTTTTAGATGGTAAAAAACGGAAACGAAAACGCCGTGTCCTCTTCACAAAAGCTCAAACATTTGAGTTGGAGCGACGCTTTCGAATACAAAGGTTTTCTTGAAAGAAAAATTGTTGGCTAGAAACAAATAATAATAAATAAACAAAATAATAAATATTTAATAATATCTATGTAATAAAAACTTCCAGGTACCTAAACTCGGCAGAACGAGAAGAGTTGGCAATGCAGATCGGATTGACACCAAATCAAATCAAAATCTGGTTCCAGAATCACCGCTACCGATTGAAGACGGATATCTCGTAAGTTTTCGAATCGAATAATTCGAAAAAGTTTTGATAGAAATTTATTGTTAAACTTCAGTTTCAGCTACAAGACAAAGAAAACGATGTCGGAAAAAGGGTTGAATACATCATTGTTGAGGCCATCAATGTCAAATACGGCTGCAGCAGCGGCTTTTTCAGCTGGTCGAATGCCTATTCAGGTGATCTTCGTTTCAACATACGTTTCAAAATACAATAGAATTGGCCGCGGAAAAGCTTTTTCACGTACTCCCAAAAGTAACAAATGCACCAATTGAACAACGGTTTATTGCATTCGAAAGGCCAATTATTTCTGCAAAATGACATTAAAACGAGTTTAAATGTCTTATGCTAGATTTTTTGAGGCCTGAATCGGGTAGTCAAAAAGGCGACGGCTCGATGATGCATTTTAGCGCTTTAGCTAAGGAAACCAATCTTGATGTTAATAAATAAAAGATAGAGCACAAAATAGATATTTTTCAGATTTTCAGGAAATTGATTCAGCCAATTTCTTTATGAGGTTTTATAGTTTTTATGAAAAACCCGTTTTCACCTCGAATTTGCTGAAACTGAACCCAAATTGACTTAAAAAGATAGGAAATTCAACAATAAACACTTTTCATTTAGAGCAAAAGCTAATTGTTTTTCAAAACAAAAAAAAAAAAAAAAAGCTTATTCAAAAGCTTATAAGCAAAAAAAGCGGAAAATCTAATAAAATCTTGATTTTCAAAGCAAAATCCAACGAATAGGGCAGCTACGCAAAGACGGAAAAGGCGGAAAAAGTTGCCCCATTGTTGCTTAACTGCTCCATTTGTTTCCCTTCCTTTGAAAATGAAAACATATTCAATTTCCCGCTGCAAGCCAGAGAATAATTGACGTTTATCAACAATAGTTAACTGAAATTACTGTTAAATTTCAGTTAATCAAAAATTTCAGTCCTTACAAATGCTGGTGAAAGAGGGAAAACCCTATGCGCAAGATCTTACTGGAAGTTATCAAGGTAAGGGAAATGTTTGTGCTGAACCCAGATATTATTGAATTCTAGTCCAAATTCACAAAACCCTTTCAGCGGCCGCGGCATTGACATTCTCCGGCGGTTCGTACCTTCCCCAAGCCTCATATCTTCCCCCACCCGGCACCTATCTCCCATCACCGGGCAATGCCAGTGGATACATGCATCAAGGATGGGGATGGGGATAAAATTATCGAAAGAATCAGAAAATTGCATAGGTTTTGTTTTGAATTCATTTGAAACTTATCGACTTGTTCTAAAGTTGACACTCAAATTTTCTAGTGAACCGATAAATGATCCACAAATTCTCCAATATCAGTTCATGTAACAAATCTCTAATTTTTTTTTGAATCATTTGTGATATCTCTCCTGTTTTTCTTTTCCCAGACTCTTTTCAATCAGTTATTTCGCATTGCTCAACGAAACTCTCAGCTAGATTTTTCTTGTTTCAGTTTGAATAAATTTTAAAGTTCGCACCCTAAAGCAATCGCTTCAAGGAAGCTGTCAAAGTTGAGAATTGAAGATTGGCAAGTAATGGCTCTGCTGAAAAATGACAAAAAAGAAACCTTCACTGAACAATTCCATACTGACATTTTACCCTTTACTTATCATTAGGATTGAAACAAGCTGTAGATTTTACTGTCATACACAGCTCTTGGGCACAAACTCTAGCCTTAACTCCCCAACAAACCCACTCAACACCTATAAATTCACCCTATAAACACCTAAATAAATAAAGGTTCTTTCAAAAAGCTTTATTTGGCACAAATTTCATGTGAATATAGAGGTGAGTTTTTTTAAAGTTTCTCCTTTTCGTTCTCTTCTCATATCATTCGCCTTTCACGGCGAATCGTTTAACGATTTGTTGAGTTTTGTCGAATTTTCCCTTGTCGGTGATGATCTTGCTAATATTCTAAAGCAAAGAATATTTGTAGCTAATGTAAGTACCAACCTTAACTTTGAAAAAAAACAAACCTTCATGGCCAAGATGTGCTTGAGGAGAGCGACACAGATGAACTGGTATTGGGCGGCCGATTGAACTGCGTGCATGCTGAAAATGAACAAAAAATGAAGGTAAATAGGCAAAACTGAAGGATATCATTACTCTTAGCAAACCATTGCTCTTTAAGCACCCACAATAAATAAGTAGCAGGTAATATTCTTACCGATGATTGCGAGCTAGCTTTACACACTTTGTCACATTCAACGAATCCGATGAATCATGCAAGTACTGATGGGTCAACTAAAAGAAGTAATTAGACATGCCCAAATAAACAAATTGTACAGAATCTAATCTGGTAACTAACTGAACCTTTTCCATTCGACAACCAAACAAACATACCTGAAAAGCTCCGTACGTGCCGGCTCGTCCACAACCACTGAGACTCACGTAGACGTGAGGAGAAGTGTTGTAGCGCCGGAAAGCCGACTCGATTTGCCAGATCTCCTAAAATAAAAAAATTAGGTATATACTTGTGAATCAAAATCACATCCAAATTGCCCGGCTTCTTTCCGTGCTGCCAATCCTTGTAATGGTGCAAATGGAAGTATCTAAACAAATGTCTTATACAAGCTTAAACATCAGCGACTACCTTTGCCGGTCACGTTGCTTTACGGTGATGAGATGGAGGCTCCAATTCTTCGACACTTCCACCACTTTCAAACAGCCCACCTTCATGTGATTATCGAAGTGGATGAAGTCACTAAAGTAAAAGACTACAATTCAAAACGATACCAGCGTAAACGTTCCAAAACATACAATCTTTAGCTTTGCTTAATAAGTTGTATTCCTTTTCGCTTTTAAAATTCATCTCCTCAAAATTTAAAAACTAGCCCTTGTCCTGGTAGAAAGGCACGAGCCGCAAATTTCTCGAATTCAAATTGCGTGAGAATGAGAAGGATTCCCTAAAAACAACACAAATTATAGAATTCAAAACAGCACAAACCTGTACTCGATTTTGCATGCACATCTCCCAAAAGTCGACAGTCGTGTTCGGAAGTGGCAACTGAGTGATGATACATTTCCTAAATTGAAAATATAAAATTTCAAACATGACAACTACTTAATCGTAAGCTTAATAATAATAAAACTCTTACTTGTCCTTGTCTCCAATTGGCACCCACGATGCGTGAATGTAGTCCGGACCAGCACCCTCCAAGAAAACACGTGACTGATCGACGCAAACCATGTCTATAAAAACAAACAAGTTAAACGGAAGCAATTTCAAAGTTCAAACCTTGAAAGCGGTTCTTCTCGGGATTCTCGTCAAAGTCGATTCGCGTTGAGGCCGGGGGTAAATAGTCGGCCATCACCCTCCAACTCTTCTCCATTCCCTGCAAAAGCTAGAATTACAAAAGCAAAAAGATAACCCTCTAATAATCTTTAAAGCATAAAAAAGTCAACTAATTTTAAACATTTTTAAGATTAAACACAAAAACTCTCACATCTAGTCCGGATTTGATGGCGTGCTCGACAAAGTTGCGCAGCTTGGTGAGTTGTTTCTGCTCCTCAGTCGCATCTAAATAAAACACATTCATAGACGCCAAAAGTTAAGTTATTGTTAACATCAATCAAATAAAATATTTTTGATAAATTATTAGCAAAAATTGCAAATTTTAAATCAAATAAGCAGATCACTTTACTACTTGTAGCCTTTGAATTATCAGGTATGTTTAACAGTTAGACATGGACTTTTTGTAGAAAACGAGTCAGTTCCACGTTTTCTACAAAAGGCCCATGTATATTAACGGTAGAATAACACTTACCACCCACGACCGTCCTCTTCGAGCGTTCCTTGACAGTGTGATCGTCCTCCTGCTGCTCTCGCTTCGAAGCAACACCGGTGGGCCCCGGCGGAAGAAGTGGCGTGGGCCCAAAAGTCACTCCAATTGTCGTTGCAGATAGGGTAGAAGTGGTGGCAGCCGTCTCACCTGCTGGAGTCACCGGTGAAGCTAATTCTAAAGATTAAAATTGTTTATTTGTTTATTTAAAATTATAAGCCTTAAACAAATACAAGCTGGGTAGGCGTTTTTTTAACCCATCAGCAACTTTCTCTTTTAAAAGCCAAACTATTAGTGCGACTTTTTAACTATTAAAGCTGACATATCTACGATTTCTAAACTTTTAAATGTTAAAAGTAACCTACCAACAAAATGGTGATTACCACGAGCGCCGGGTGGATGCTGCTGTTGGTGCTGTTCTGCTCCTGTGACAGTAGGCGTTGACGTGTTGGTGCGGATTCCGCAAATCAGCTCCATTTCCACCATATCGGTGCCTTTCGTCGGCGGGGTGCTTGGAGTGACAGGAGCCAGGGCAGTAGATGGATGAGAGCGCTAAAAACAGAATTCCAAATAGTAAACATAGGAGTTGTTCAAGTCAGGGGTAAGTTTAGAACTGATCGCTTAAGTTTAGTCTACAACTTTTATAAAAAGCTAAAAGCAACACACCGAATGAGACTTGTACTGTCCAACTGCGGCATTTCGAGGTTGTTCATGATGTCCATGGCCATGACGTTCTCCATGTGGTCGAGATCGTGGCCGCTCCTTGTTGTGGTGACGGGGTTTCCCCTTGCTATGCCGGCTATGTGGAGTCGTTGAGCTGGGGCGATGAAGATTCCTAAAACAAAAAGTAACTCTGAAGTACTGGTTTTACCGAATAATTAGCTCAAATCACTATTACAACTTGAAACGCTCAAATCACTCTAAGCAACTTAACACGAAAGCTATCACTTTGACATTGTAAAAACGATGTACACCTCGGTGCTCGGTACTCTTTCCTGTGATGCTTGCTTGGAGTGCGGTGGTTTTTCTTGGGTTCACGGTGATGCGGGCTGATTTTCGGCTAGAAGCAAAATTAACTTTAACAAACACTAGGCAAAACATTAATTCACAAAAACCGTACCTTGTATTGAGCATCTTCGCCGTATTGTCCAGAAGCACATTGATTCTTCACCAATTGTACACCACTATTTCGTGATTTTGGACGGGAATGCTAAAAAAGAAAAGTTTAAAAAATCATTTTCAAGCAAAATCCAACCGTATTTCTCGTTCCCCTCCGTCGATGACAGTCGATTTCGACCATTTTCTAGAAAACAACAATTCAAAACAAGCCTAATACAAAAAAAAAACGGAACAATGCGTTAAACTGTAAAAAGAAAAGTTTAAAAAACCTTTTAGCGAAGAAACTAAAGTTGGACGAGAGAGGAGAGGAAATGAAAAATTTTCCCTGCTTTTGTTTCGTTTTATTAGACGCTAAAATGCAAATTCCGTGTACTTCTATACAAATTTAATGGGGTGCTAGCAAAAGCGCCAAATTATTTGCACCACGTTTCATTTGCGCCAAATTTGCGCTTTTCAACAAACTTTTCTACCAACTCTGATGGAACATTGATATTTTTTTTCAGTTTTTCCTCGTCGATGATGCTCGCTATTCTGCCGCCTTGAGCGGCTCTGAAAATGGCATAAGATCGATATAGAGAGTAAAAAGCCCAATTCGGGACGCAAAAATGACTGTTTTTGGAGTCTATATACCGTAAATACTGTAATTGGACCCCACCCCTCTAATAATACCCCACCCTAGAGGGAAAAAATAGCACGCCATGGGGTCCAATTACAGTATTTACGGTAGGTATATTGAACGTTTGTTTCAATTTTAAAATTTCAATTGTTTCTATTCAAAATTTAAAAAATGTTTCTTCATTGGCGCGAAATATATTTATTTTCTGATGTACAAATAGGCAACATTTTAGAGGAAAACACCATTGGAATGACTGAAAGTTAAAGCCGTACTTGAAAATGACAAAATGCAAGCACGTTTAGAGAACGATCTACCCGTAAAAGCTGAAAAAAATCTCGTGATTGAAGAAAGAAATGTGGAGAGGTTTAGTTGAAATTCAAGAAATATAGATTTTGAGAAAAAAGAGTTATGGAGTCACAAAGAAGGCAATCAATAAAGTGATCGAGCCGAGTGTCAGCGATGTGGAGGAACTCACCTGGAATTGAGTTTTGTTTTGCTTACAGTACAGAGAAATACCGATTTTGCTTTTGCTTACAGGATTGGTTACAGTAATACCTTTTGTATGCCCAACATATTTTCATATCACAAACTTCACCATCATGAATATATTGAACTAACTACACACAACAACGTGCACAGGATTACGGTGGCAGTTCCTACGGTTGTGGCAGTGGCTACGGTATTCTATGTGCCCTTCAGAAATTCAATCCTAATCATAATCAATCTTTTAGCTTTAGAAAAGATCTTTCTATTAAAAGACCCTAATCCAGCTAATCTAAACTGAATACCTAATCTAGACCAAATACCGTAATCCTGTTGATCTAGACTGAATGCCATAACCTAGGCTAAATACCGTAATCCAGCTAATCTAGACTGAATACCCAATCTGGACTGAATACTTTAGTTGCTTCTAAACGAACCATTTCGGGACTTTGAGTGATCAATTGGCTCAAATCGTTTTCGTTTTTCTTTGGATCTTTCTCCATCTGGCCGGCGTCAACAATTAGAATGGCTTCAGTTGTCGTTTCCTAAAATTTAATCCAACTTTTTTTTTACAATCTAGCACTGTACTTGTGATCTACTTTTTGTTCTGTAAATGCACCTTTTCCAGTGCACTCGATTCCTCAGTTTTCTTGGAGTAAAAGACTGACAAAGCATAGCTTAACAAAACTTCGTCTAAAACGGAGACTATTCAAGGCATTAAAACCTAAAAAAGAAAAAGGACAATCAGTTCCACGACTCGAACCAGACACCTTGCGTTCTAACTCACTAACCCCACAAGCACTAACTCCACAGCGCTGGCCACTCGGTCAGCGCTGCAGCCGCTTGTGGAAGACAGAGTTGTAATGTCGGGGTTTGATTTTTAAAACTCCTTACAAAACTTTAAACGCGTATAACTTTTGACAGAGTTCTCCGTGGCAAAAAAGAAAAGCAACATCATGATCAGCGTGAAATTCTGCGTCTAATGGTCTATGCTCATGTGATTTGACCAGTAAATTCAGCTGATCTTCCCTTGTTAGTTCCACAAATGAATAGCAATCGAGTGTGCCAGAAAGGGTGCATTTACGCGTTACGGTTGAGCGGTTGAGAAAATACGGTTGAGCTTTCATAATCTGTCGTTTTTTCCTTTCCCACCTGTTTCTCTCCAGAATTCTCGTTGATCTCTTTGTTTTCCTCTTTTTCTTCTTTTTCCTCTTTTTCCTCTTTTTCCTCATCCTTTTCCTCGTTTTCGTCTGATCGGCTCTCTTTTTTGATAGCTTCCTCCATTTTCTCCATTCCCTCGGCAATCTCTTTCTCATCATCACCCTAAAGCAAGTTGATTTCAAAGTTTTCCCTTTAAACCCCCACTTGTTCACCATTTACCGGCGGTTCTGGCCGTTCCATATTCTCCTGAAAATCTCTCGGTATCATCTTTAGCAGAATTTCCCAATCTCACCTCACTACTCAGCACATCCATTTTCGGGGTCACCTCCTCAGAGCCAGTCTCGCCGCTCAATTGAACCTGAAATAGTTGCAAGTTTAAAAATGAGGTTAAAAATGAGTTTCAAAATGAGTTTCAAAATTTATCTAATTATTTTAGAATCAAGTTCTTCTATATTAGTTGAATTAAATGCCTAGATTATCACTTTTTTTAGAGTAAAGCTGTCAAATTCGAATATTTTACTTGCTAGAGTATGCCAAATGCATAAGTGGATTAATACTGAATGTCTTTTGATGTTAATAGGTGCGTTTCTTTTAAATATTTCTCTAAAACGAACTGTCTCTGGGTTAATCGATGCGGGTTGATTAACAATTTTCACATCTTCCTCAGCCATCGCCACAGCCGGATTCTCGGTGACGGGAGACGCCTGTAAATGAGTCTTATTTCCAATTTAATAAATAAGATCGATTTGGCGTTGATTTACATTGTTAAATTCCTAATTATTGCTTTAATTTATCCAAAAAAATCCCAAATTTGAAAATTGACTTACCGTTTCTTCAGTAATATTTGCTGGGCTTCCAAATGGAACGAAATCGTCTTCCGGTTGGAAAACGTGTGGTTGTTGCTCGTCTTTTGTTTCTTCCTAGAATATTAAATCGATTTACTATATATGTCGTAACCGTTTACAAATCATTCGTAATCGGCTAGCTTTTTACGAATGAAATGTTTAAATGTAAATTCATGCTGCTTGAATGCAAAGCTTGAATGCAAATTTTCCCAACAACATTTTCAATAATTTCGGATTCATTTTTCTTTTTGCCTTTTTTCCTTATTCTTTGACCAGCTCATTAACGTTCGCGTTTTCGACGCAATCTAAGCCTCACCCCTTTATGCCGTAATTACGGAGCGTCACGTTTGCGCACGGACAGATGGACGGACAGACGTCTCTTCTGCTTTGTAGATTTTATTACATACTCATTCCTTTTTTTTTCAGGATGAATTCTTTTCTCATTCAACTTAGTTGAGATCAACCTGAAAGTTGATCAACTCAATCAACTTTCAGGATGAATTCTTTTCTCAATCAAGTCTTGAAGAAGTAAAAGTATCTACTAAAGAAGTTGAAGTTAAAGTGGATTAACTAAAGTTGGATAAATGGGCCAGTTGAAGTTGGAATAACTGTTCATCACCCAATCGATGTTGATAATCGACGTAAAATCAACCACTCGTCTCTTTTTGGTGTCGTGCTGTCTTCGGAGGACGGTTTATATCAGATTGGCACCGTCATCGTCTCTTTTTGGTGTCGTGCTGTCTTCAGAGGACGGTTTATATCAGATTGGCACCGCCATCGTCTCTTGTTGGTGTCGTGCTGTCTTCATAGGACGGTTTATATCAGATTGGCACCAAGAAGTTTTGCAGCAAAAGTTACCTAGTTATATTAGATTTTATTCATTAATCTTTAACATTTAAGCTCACTCGAAATCAGTTTGAACCGGTAAACAACATCTTTGCCGTTCTTTGCCTTTCTTTGCCCTTTCTCTTTGCTGATGACGTCCCTTCTCAAGAGACATCGCTTCTTTTCCGTTTTGCATAAATATTTTGAAAAAACACGGTAAAATCAGTTTAATAGAGACATGTTTGCAGAAGCATAGCATCGATCAAATTGGAATTTAGATGAAATTTACATTTAAACATTTCATTCGTAAACGGCTAGCCGATTACGAATGATTTTGTAAACGAATACGACATATATAAAAGTGCCTGTTTGTCCGTTTGTAAGGGCTTTTTCTTAACCGTCTTAGCCGTTAGGCCGTTTCTAAGCCGTTTTTGGGCCAAGTGCACTCTCGACTGCGCCACAGCGACAAAAAGGTCGTCGCTGGTTTTCAATTAAAATAAAGGCAATCTAAATAAACAAATTTTACCTCCGGCTTCGTATCTCGGCTTGCCAACACGAATGGCTCATCGGGTTTTCGCTCCTTCAAAAGGTTCAATTGTGATAAGTTTACGATTAGTGGTTAGAAATGATTTGCTCTGGGATTTGCTTTGATTAAGCATAAATTTTGTGTTTATTGTACAAAATACTGTCTTTATCTTAAAAAGAGACAAATGCTACAAGAATTGACTCGCAAATCTGCTCACCTTATTCAATTCTTTTGTTTCCTCATCCGATTCTTCTCCCTCTCCCTCGGCTGTATCACTGATGGCCAATGGCGGTGCTGGTGTCTCATCCTCTTTGCTTACCAGTTTCTGGAATGTTTTAAAAGTCTGAGTTTCACTTGAATATCTATTAGGCTGTCCAGAAAGTCTTTTCGTTTCTTTTCGTTTCTTTTCGTACTTCAATTTAAAACCAACAAATGCACCAATCTTACCGCTTCGTCTTCTTTCGTCTCAACGCCATCGATTGCCTTGGACATTGTGAATTCCCCAGAATTGGCAGGAAGTGGCTAAAAAGATTATTTCTTGCATAGGCTAGTTCAAAAAAACTCCAGTATTTTTCAAAGTCTATATTCTTAAAATATTTTCTTAAAATATTTAAAATCTAGTTTTATTCGAATCTCTGCCATTCGAATCTCTCGAACCCACGTTTTTTTCCGGTTCACCAATTGACGCATCAGTGACTTCTTTTTCGAAATTCCGAATGATTGGAGTTGAGGAATCGATTGGGAAAAGCTAAAACTTCATTGTTTTTGAAAATCTTTGAAAATAGATGAAAATGAAAATCTAATGTTTCAAAAATACTGAAAGAATGAATTCTCTGTTTTCATCAAGCCTAGTTCTTTTTTTTGAAAGTTTTTGAGCTTTGAAAAGATCCATTGACAATTCTAAGTACTTAATTTTGTCCATTCACCTTTTCCAAACTTTCTTGGTGCTTCAAAAATGCGCACTCTTCCGGCAAAGCGTCAAAGTATTGCTGAAAAAGTTGTCAAGTTTGACAAAAACAAATCAGCGCTTACCTTTCTTTGATCCTCGCCTAGCTTTATCGATCCAGAGCTGATTTGGAGTTTGATCAATTCCTGAAGTAATCAAATTGTAGAGGTTTCACTTTTCCAATTACCCTGAAAAGCTCTGACGCTGGGGCACACTGATCTTGGAGTTTCCGAGAGGAACATTGAAGAACACAGATTTGTTGTCTAAATGGGATTGTTAAAAAAAAACGAAGGAATAGCTGGATTATAATCCTTACTATTAGGCACTTTAATGACAAATAGACAAAATTTTTGCGCACCACACTAAAATGCACTAAACTACCGTAACCCTCGAATTTTCCTTTTTCTGGCAATTAGCCAATTTCTTTGTTTTTTATTTTTCACCATTATTTCTATGTTTTTTTCATCAACTCAACATCTGGAATCAAAGTTAAGTTTATTTTAGACATTTTTTGAATAGATTGGGGGGTGGGACAAATGCGACCTTTTTTTTGAGCACCTGGACATTTGCGCACCTTTTTTTTGCTGGAAAAGGCCTTAGGCAAGGTCGTAGAGCTTCGAAAATACTTCCATATAAGGGAATCGTATGCGTAGATTCCGAATTTCGACAAATCAGACCTCGCCGACACGTCAAATTTGGGCTAAAAGGCAAAAACTGCGGAAAAGCGTTGAGTTGCGTAGTTTTTGCCTTTTAACCCAAATTTGACGTGGCAGCGAGGTCTGATTTGTCGAAATTCGGAATCTACACGATTCCCTTCTATGAAAACATTTTTGAAGCTCTACGACCTTTCCTAAGGCCTTTTCCAGCAAAAAAAAAGGTGCGCAAATGTCCAGGTGCGCAAAAAAAAGGTCGCATTTGTCCCACCCCCATAGATTGCTTTGTTAGAAGGATTTTTACAGGACGATGGAGGATTTGCTAATATCAATTGCAAATTTATTGAGACAACAACAATGAAATCAACGGGCAACAACAATAAGAGGTTGGAATTAACCTTTTTAGTTTTATTTGGCATAAATTTGCGATTTTTTGGTTTTATTTGGCATGAAAATGCGGTAGTTTAGTGCATTTTAGTGTGGTGCGCAAAGATTTTTTGTCTGAGAAAGTCTATTAGGCTGTCCAGAAAAATTTTCGTTTCTTTTCGTACTTCCGTTGGAAAATAACATAATCACCAATTAACCTATGGTTTTCTCTTAATAAAAAGTGTTTATTGTTCAATTTCCTATCCTTTTTAAGTCAATTTCGGTTCACTTTCAAGCAAATTCGAGTGTGAGAAACGTAAAAATCTATTTTTTTTTCGTAAATTCTAGAAAAACTTCTATGAAGAAATTGGCTCAATGAATTTCTCTAAAAATTTGACTATCTAATAAACTTTTTGTGCTCTATCTTTTATCTATTGACACAAAGGTAGATTTCCTTAGCTAAAGTTCGTCTAAACCGTATCATCGAGCTGACTTTTTGACTATCCGACTTTATGCTCTCAAAAAATCTAGTCATAAGACATTTTAAACCCTTTTGAATGTTATTTAGGAGAAAAATAATTGGCCTTTCTAATGAAAGAAACCGTAGTTCAATTGGTGAATTTGTCGATGTTAAACGGAAGTACAAGAAAAAACGAAAAGACTTTCTGGAAAGCTTAATATAAATCTTAAAAGTAAGTCTTAGAGGTTATAAATTTATTATTGTTAAACATATTATAGCTTATTATTGTTACATGTTATAGTTTATTATTGTTATTATTGAACAAATCTTTATAGTACCTGCAATCGGATCCAATCGACGCCATTTCAGCTTGGGGATTGATCGCCGAAGTGGGACTCGAGTCAAAGCGGAGAGCGGCTATAAAAATCTTGTAATTTTGGTTCCCTATTTCTTTAAATTTGGTTCCCTATCTCAACAATGTTAAAATATCACGGTATGACATAAAATTGACTGGAAAATGACTGTAAAATAGCCACAACAATAGCTTTGACTGAAAAAATATTCAAAAATTTTCCTACATGTCGAATTCCCATCGATTCCACAGCTTTGAGAGCAACTCTCGCTCAAGTTCTCATCAATTTGAGAGGAACATTCTTTGACTTTAGACAAATCTGAAACAAAATCGATTTCTTTTAGGTTCTTTTCCGACTTGTGATATCAATTTTTTTTCTGTTCAGATATTTTTCATAACAATCTCTTTCCATCCAAAAATTCCCCACAAAAACTGGTCCTCATCTGGGGAAAACCCGGACAAAAATCGAGGTCAACACCAAATTTTCATCGGTGACTGCTCATCGGGCAAAAATAACTCTCTGACTCACTTGATTATCTAGTTTTTTTTGGGGAAATGTTGAAGCATAAACTTGTTAAAGAAATGCATATTCGGTGTCAAAGTGTACTCTGAGACCTTAAAGGAGGTTTAAAAGGGCTTTAAAAGGAACTATAAAGGAACTTTCAAGGAGCTTTAAAGGAGCTTTAAAGGAACTATCAAGGAGCTTTAAGGGAGCTATGGGGTTGGTGGAAAAGTCCTTTCCGATTTGTTGGGAGAGTACCTTAAATTTATTTGTTTTCTCTTTTTTGTTATTATGGTAAATTTTAGGGTACAACAAAAAAAAAACGAGAAAAACGAAGGAAAATAGCGAAAAGCGGCGGAAAGGCTATTGATCTGAGGGTCGCTGGTTCGACTTCCACCGGTGACAATATTTTTCAAAAATTTTTTGCTAAGATTCTGAAAATGCGTGTCTAGGGGTTATTTTTGACGCTGATCACGAAACACATGTTTTTAGCCTAGGTTTCTGCACGGAAAACTAACGAAACGTGAAAACAGCCATTTTTTGGCTCTGCCGCCCTTTACTAAAATAGCTGTAAAAACTTTTAGAAAAGAGATATCTCAAAACGGTTTTTACCAATCGATCCGTCTTGAACTCAGCTTTAGGATGAGCTATAAAACGTCAAAATTGGACAAATTTAAGGTACTCTCCAAAAAAATCGGAAAGGACTTTTCCACCAACCCAATACATGAGTTAGATTTTCGTGAGTTAAAATTGAGACAAAACCTCTACAAACAAATGATTTATCATTTCAAATGCAAAAATCCAAATCTTGTTTCAAAAAAATCCCCTCAAACCTTTCCATTGACAGATTCTCCCGGCGATCGCTGATTTCTCAACGAATTCGCTAGCTTGCTCCGGACAATCTTGGGCACAATTCGAGACATCATCGAAATCTCTGAAATTTATTCGAAAACTTTAAAACAAAATTTCCACTCACTTGCAAAGCGTCGCCAAATTAAAAAATGTTTTTTGGAAGTTCCACAAGTCGTTCACATCAACGATCGATCCTCGATTCTCGAGACATTTGTCCAAACAAGTCGTTGAATTCGTTGGAGCCGCTGGAAATTTGCGAGAACTATTTCAATTGGTTTTGCAAGAAATGCGTAGATTTAGTGCGCCAGATAGGGCGTGTTTTGAGCAAAAAAGTATGCCTAGCCGGGATAAACCAACAAAACCCACCATTCACCGCTAAAAACGCTGTCGTCGCCGTCCACAGAAGTATTCGAAGCATTCTTGAAAGTGATATTCAGTTGAAAGTTTATATGTCGTAGCCGATTATGAATGAAATTTTTTGGTAAATCTTTCTAGTAGAGCAACCCTTTGATGTATGAGGACAATATTATATCATCTTGTAGCGAATTCAATTCTGCGCCGATTGGTACCAAATTTGTGAGTTTAGGTTAAAAATTGCCGGCGCTACAACGTTTCATTCAAAATCGGCGGGACCCCCGTAGCCGATTATGAATTTCAGCCGATTATGAATGAGTGGGTCTAGGAGCGTCCAACCCTCAAGTATTTAGTGTCATTCAACGCAGAATCATTAATAATTATGTTAAATTTTATAAATTAGAAAGATTGGATAAAAAGAAAAAAAAATTAGAGCAAAAAAACTGTTTGTTCAAGAGAAAACTTTGAAGCCCCATAATTTTTTTCTTTTTATCCAATCTTTCTAATTTTAAAAATTTAACATAGTTATTAATGATTCTGCGTTGAATGACACTAAATACTTGAGGGTTGGACGCTCCTAGACCCACTCATTCATAATCGGCTACGACATATATATAAGCATTCTTGAAAATGATATTCAGTTGAAAGTTTATATATAAGCATGCTTGAAAATGATATTCAGTTAAAAGCTTAGATATAACCTCAACTAAATAATAGTTATTTAGCCAATGTAAAAGATAAAATTTCAAGAATCTGTGTAAACTTTTTATTTCTCAGTGATCATTTTGTAAAAAAAGAGTTCTTAGGTGTAGAAATGAGAAAAAGGAAAACATTTTTTAGTAAAAAAATGGGAAGAAAACAAAAGAAGGGAAAGAAAAGAAGAGAAAGAAAAGAAGGGAAAGAAAAGAAGGGAAAGAAAAGAAGAGAAAATAATGAGGTTGAGAAAAGGAAAGCAAAGAAGATGACAATAAAAATGACAAAGAAAAGCGGTTGAAAACTATCGACAAGAACGCAAAGAAAATGAAAAGGGTCAAGCAAAAATTTTTGAGAGGAAAGCTTGTAGAGTTAGAAATTAATGGAGATGTTTGTGAGGGACAGATTGTGTTCCTCGCTCGCTAAAAGGTGGGTAATTGTGGGACATTTGATACGCGCCCCTTTTCCATTGGCAATCCAACTTTTAGCTCAAATTTCTTAGTGTTTGGCGGTTCAATTTAGATAGCTTTTGTAACGATCGATAGAGAAAAAACACTCATTCATTAGATATCATTAGATGCGCCAAGTCTTTCTCTATCGATTGGTACAAAAACTATTTAAATTGGACAGCCCAACACCAAGATATTTGAGCTTAAAGTTGGATTGCCAATGGCAAAAGGGGCGGGGCTCGTATCAAATGTCCGATAACCCTATTTTTGATATATAAAAGATTCCATTTGATGAGAAATCAAAGTAGAACGGTGAAAATCTGAAAAGAATTTTACGATAATATCCCAAAAAACTCGCTTCTCGGCGCCCCGCCCCTTTTCCTATTAACAATCTAACTTTGAGCTCAAATATCTTGCTGTTGAGCTGTCCAATTTAAATAGTTTTTGTACCAATCGATAGAGAAAGACTTGGCGCATCTAACGATGTTAAGAACATTTAAATTGGACAGCTCAACAGCAAGATATTTGAGCTCAAAGTTAGATTGTTAATAGGAAAAGGGGCGGGGCGCCGAGAAGCGAGTTTTTTGGGATATTATCAGTAAAATTCTTTTCAGATTTTCACCGTTCTACTCGATTTTGATTTCATTCAATTTAAAATTTGATTTCTCATCAAATGGAATCAAAATTCAGTAGAATGGAGAAAATCTGAGAGAAAGATTACGGTAACTTTTCAAATTATCAGTTCCAAATGTTTCAAATTATCTTTTATACCCTGGAAAAAAAGATCAGCTCTTTGAAACTAAAAAATTGACAGAGAATTGGTAGATAAGATCCACTTAACTATGAATGGAGACACTCGGGAAATTGATAGAATCTTGCTGAAAAGAGAACAATTCATCAAAGAGGGAAAACAGTTCAGTTATGTGTACTAACTGAACTGTTTTCATAACATAACTGAACTGTTTTCCCTCTTGATTAAAGCTTTTCTAATGCTTTTCTTTATGTAAAAACTACCGTAATCTCAACGTTTATTAGTGAAACAATCCAGCCAGTAAATCGAGTCTCTTTATTATTATTATTAATTAAATTATTATTAAATTATTCATGGCCTTATTCATGGCTTAGAGACAGATTTAACCGCTGGTTTATTATTAAGAAAATAGCTGGAGTACGGTAACTTTTCCGGAGGGCAATTTTAGGAAATGCTTTTTACGGGAGCCCAATCAGTCAAGATTAGAGTTCTAAAAAGTGTCCATTTCTCTTTCTACCGTAATCTCGTCTATTTTTCCAATATATATACTTTTTGTAAATTCTGTGCTTCTGTAAATTGTAAATTTTTGTAAAAACCTTTTCATAAACTCATTTCATTTCAAATTCAGGGGTAGGCTAGTTTCCGCAATTTTTTTTGCGCAACTGGGTCATTTGCGCAACTCACCATAACTTTCTTTTAAGGCGCAAAAATAAACTACTCTAGAGTAAAAGTAAAAGAAATGAAAAGAAAATGGCGCACAGATCACCCAAAAAAAGTCGCGGAAACTAGCCTACCCCTAAATTCATCATTCATTTCTTTTCAAAAATCAAAAGATACAGTGAATAGATTTTTGATTTTAAAAAAGACAAGATTACGGTAGAAAGAGAAAGGGAAATGTTTTAGAAAATCAATTAATTGCGAGGCTTTGATTTCATCTGATTTCATCTGAAAGGGGACACATTTTGAAAACGGTTTGCTTAACGATAAGAAGCAAACACTTTCCTCCGGAACACTGATTATCTAGAGTAAAAGTAAAAGACTAGATATAAACTCTAGAGTAAAAGTTGTAAAAGAAATGAAAAGAAAATGACAGGTGTGGTCATCATTTTTCTTTAAAGAGAACAACAAAAAAATTTCTTGCTCCCAGCAAAGCGACTCTTCCCTCTCAAGAGGGAACGAGTGCTTCTTTTTTGAAACAAACTTTTCCTTGCTATTTTCTCTTTTCTTTTCCTTTTTTTTAAAACCGTACTTATGCCTTGAGAGATTTTGTTTAATAACGTGAGGGAACAATGCAAATTTTCATCATTTTTTTGAGTTTCTTTTGAAAAAATGAGAAAAGTAACGGATTATAGTAGAACAAAACAAAAATAAAAACAAAAGAGTTTGACTAACTGACTAGTTTGTTTTTTGTTACTTTTTCCAATCTGAACATATTTGGTACTATTAGTATTGCATATTGGCTTCAGAAAACAGGATAAAATCTTTGCTGAAGGCCGTTTGATCTTAGGCCCCTCCTAGGCCCTTTGATCTCGCCAACAAATTTAGTTTTTCAACTTTACTCAAAAACGCTTTAAGATTTTTCAAATCTGATTTAACAGGCCAAAGCACCGTAATCAATTGCATATTGTCTCCAAAAAACAGGATAAAATCTTTGCTGAGTCGCGAGTTACAAAATGAGCGATCCGATCGGATTTACCCCGCCCACTACCGTTGGTAAAATACGTTTTTCTCAGCTTTCCCTAAACCAATTCTAAAACTTTTAGTATCATTCAATAGCTAACTTTTTATCCTACCAAATGACACTAAAAGTTTTAGAATTAGTTTATGAAAAGCTGAGAAAAACGCATTCTGCTAACGGGAAAAATGCGAAAGTGGGGGGGGGGCAATCATGTCTACTCTTTACTTATCAAAGATTTAGTGGACTTTCGAGTATTTCACGTATCTGGGACTTTCGAGACATTTGGAATCATTTTCGAAAAGTTCCACGCAAATGAATACAGTTCAAAAGTCTGAGTGGGCAATGGAAATGCAATGAAAGGCAAATCCACAGACAGACTATTGGCCGTACATCAGGATAAAATCTTTGCTGAGTCGCGAGTTACAAAGTGAGCGATCCGATCGGATTTACCCCGCCCACTACCGTTGGTAAAATACGTTTTTTCCCAGCTTTCCCTAAACCAATTCTAAAACTTTTAGTATCACTCAATAGCTACCAATCAGCTAAAAATCTACAAAAATCAAATTAACCAATGTAAAAATTTGCAAAAATTCATAAACGAGCTCATTTTCCCCATATTTTATACACTCAACTACCGACATTCGTTCGCCGATCACCCTCGAAATTCCGGGAACTTTTCGAAAACTCTGGTTTTCGAAAATAAATCATGACGAAAATGTTATAAATAACGATATTCAAAGATTACTTTTCAGAAAGTAAAAACAAAAACAAATTAGAGTGAGAGCGAAATGAAGACAAAGCAGTGAACTCGCCGGGGATAACACTGACGGTGAAATGTTGCTCTTCATTCGGGCAACTCTCAACTTGTTGCGGAAATGAGAGAGAGAGAGAGAGAGAAAATCTCTCTTTGTCACCTCTTTTTCTTTCTCCAATAATTCTCAATTCTCCCCATTTTCCCCCCAAATCTATCCATTTTTTGTCTCCTCCAAAAAGCGAGTAAAGAAACCAGTCTCTCAGTCACGATTCGAAAACAAATATTCGTGGATTTGTGTGTCGATTCCAAAAATTGTCTGACCTTTATCCTCTGTAAAGAGTTATTAATACGATTTTGTTATTTGAAACTAAAAAATGACATGGGTCGTGAAAGTGAGACGAAAGTTATTGGATCAGAAAAAGAAGTCACACCATTTCACGCATCCGCTGATCCAAAGACAAAGACAAAGACTGATCCAAAGGCAAAGACTGATCCAAAGACAAAGTCTGATCCAAAGACAAAGTCTGATCCAAAGACAAAGACAAAGACAAAGACCAAGACAAAGACAAAGACAAAGATAAAGGCAAAGACAAAGACTAGAGTTTACATATTGTTAAAAGTGCTAAAACAAACTACCTGAGCTGGCGAGAATTCCGAGCGTGTGATGGGGTGAGTGCGCTGTGCCGTCCTTCTCGTGAAACGATTCATTAGATTCCTTCTTGCCAATCTCGTTTCGCTTCCCACATTCGTGCAACCAACATAGCATCAACGATGTGTCAGGTGTCACGGCATCAACGATGTAGGTGGTGTCATTCGTTTCCTTTGTTGTGACGAGTTCCTAAACAGAAACCAAATAAAATTTTAATAGAAAATTGACCAACCTGGGCACGGCAGTAGGTTCCATTGAATGGAAGCTTGCTGCACGAAGCGGAAACGGGTTTTCGTCAAAAGCTTGCGTGGAATGGTGACACCGAACTTTGCTTTTCTCGTCAATGGCCTTTTGATCTTGAGCGCATTGCTCTTTTAAACTTTTAAAAGATGTCGAGTAAGAATGAGCTTCAGATTATTTTCACCAAAAGCTTCAGAGATAAGATATGCCGCTTGCTTCCTGCGTGTGGCAATAAAAAGGGGAAAATTAGATGAAAATGCCATGCAGATCTGTATTTTTATCTATCTTTAACGTATTTTTTTGGTAGATTCTTCCAAGACTCGGATGCGTGAAGTGGTGCGACAAGAGTTACTCAAGACTGAGGAATTTAAAAGAAAATGAGCCACATTGCCGATCCCTTTTTGTGAACAAGAATGACATCTCGATATAACAAGAATAACATCTCGACAGGTAAATTTTTGCCATACAAAATGACTTTTGTAGCTTCCACAGGCAAGTAACACAGAAAATCAGTTTGATTCTCAAGTAACACAGAAAATCCTAAGCCCTAGCTCACTGTTTGCACGAGGAGGATCCCCGCGGAGTTGGCGAAATGTTGGAAACAGTTTTTCTCAAAACATTAAACGTTCGTTAAGTTTTTAGCACCGTTGTGTGCATGTGAAAAACGGCAACAACACAAATTATCCGGATGAAGAAGTACCATTAAAGGACCCACTTCCGTCAACCAAACTGATATTGGGGGAAAAGGTAAATGATTATTTTGTATGTCACTTTTATTAAATGTTTGCTTTTAGAAGCCGACTGGTCACTCCAAAGTACATTTGCTTGAAATCTTATTGTTGAAATCTTATTGTTGTTGAAGAGTAAGGTGTTTAATAGTGATAATTGTGTTTTTTTAGTCCTCTTGGGTGCGCTGGTAACAATCATTGTGACCGTAGTCGGGTGCAGTCGTCTTGGATGGTGCGCCTTTGGAGGATGGAATGAAAATAGTGATCTTTGTTAAAGGTTTTGATTTAAGTGCATTGAGAAGTGTAGGGAAATGCCGGGTTTAACGATGAGGAAGCAGTGACGGCTGGAGAAGAAGATGAAGGAGAAGATGACGAATCAGTAGGTGGAGAAGGAAATGAAAGTGAGGGACAAGAATAGCAATCAATTCAGCCAGCAAAACTACAAGAAGTTCTCTTGGATGCGCTGATAACAATTATTGTTACCGTAGTCGGGTGCAGTCGTCTTGGATGGTGCGCCTTTGGAGGATGGAATGAAAATAGTGATTTTTGTTAAAGGTTTTGATTTAAGTGCATTGAGAAGTGTAGGGAAATGCCGGGTTTAACGATGAGGAAGCAGTGACGGCTGAAGAAGATGATAAAGGAGAAGATGACGAATCAGCAAACGGAGAAGGAAATGAAAGTGAGGATCAAGGATAAGAATAGCAATCAATTCAGCCATCTCTTATACAAGAATTCTACAAGAATATAAATTGATTCACGAAATCTACAAGAACAATCTCAATAATTTTTTCTTTCGTGTAATTTCTTTTGTTCATTTGATTTTCTCTGCTTAGTTTTAAGAAATTTGGTAAAAATTTAGCTGAACAGCAGTGATTCTGCTTCTGCTTCTGCTTCTGCTTTGAATACAGTGCTTAAATTTTACTAAACCCTTGAACCCTTTGAATTCTGTGAATTTTAAGAAATCCAAAGTTTGATGACCTCATTGATCATTGTTGGTTCAATTCCCCGATCATTTCCGATTGCCATTTCCTGTTCTCCGATGGGAATCTTCTCGCGCTTCCTTTTTTTTTCTTTCTTTACCCGTTTCCCCTTCTATTTGACAGGTGTCAAAGATGACCTCTTCTTTTGTCTAACGATCCTCTTTTTCCTGGATAATCGAACAAACTGGATAATCAATTAGCAGTTAGCAAATCTTGCAAATCTTGCAAATTTTTGATAGCCACTGATCGGATCGAGAAATAATGAGTTGATTCAAACTTAGACTGTAATAAAAGTTTAAATTAAATTGAAGCTCGTGTACGGTACGACGGTGGCTTTCGAAATTATCCACGTTTTAGTAAATGCATTAGACAAACTAGACACTAGCCTCATTATTCCTCAACTCAATGATACCGAAATTAGAAATCGAATGAAAATTGGAGGTTTGATTACTGTAGTTTTCAAATAGATGCCTTAAACTGTTAATACCAAAAAATTCTTTGCTTCAAGGGCTTTCTTTTGATATCTAAACGCACATTTTTCGTCGAAACAGCGCGGAGACCCGAGCATCACAAAATTGTGTGTTAAACTATGTGACGGTACGAGAGGGGCGCTACTATTACAGGTATTACGGTAGATAACTCGTCGTTTATTTCCTATCGAATTCCAGTTGATCGAAAGAGGTTTTTTTCTTCAATTGAATGGCAGGGAATGGATGAAAGAGTTGAAAGAGAAGCAAGAGAACTCAAGAGAACCGAAAGAAACTCTGTATTTGCTGATGAGTGTTTTTTCGGTGAGAAGTAGAAGAAGTGAAGTGAAAAGGAGGAAAGAGGACCAAGCGGAAAAGCGGATCGGGAAAAAGGAGAAAGGGAGAAGTGTGAGAAGTCGTGTCAAATGCCATCTTCTTCTCCATCCATCGCTGATATATAAAAGCCAATGAAATCCGCCATCAATCACATTCATTTCGATCAACTCATCTCATCTGATTGATCTAAGACATGAAGACTTTTGTGTTTTTGAGGTAATCTTTGGCAATCTTTGCCAATCTTTGGCTTTAACTTTGGCAGGTTCAGTTCCAGTAATCAAATCTTTTAGAAAATTTGAGCCTGTCCCTAATAGTAGTGCACTCTGCCGAGCCGAGTTGATAACTACGGCTAAAGGCTTTACGGCTTTCACGGCTTTACGGCTTTCACGGCTTTACGGCTTTCTAAGTTTTCACAAAAGCTCAACACTCTAATCCCTCACAAGATCTCATCGTCATCTACATTTTCCGATCATCGATAGGTTCTGATAAGCGGTTTTCGAGATTTCGAACAATTTAGGTGACGCTTTGGGTGCATTACTAAGAAAAATACGATACTTGAGCTAATAAGCTAGCCATAAGCTAGCAATAAGCTTCTTGAACAAATCACGAAATCCCTTTCAGCCTTTTCCTCGCCTCGTCGACAGCTCAACTCCGAATCGGTCAGTATTACGCCTCAGCAGGCGAGTTTGATAAAAAAGTGTAGAAATAAAAGAAATCAATAGGATAATTTGTCAAAGCTGACTTTCAGGTGTCTCGGTTCCATGTGCAGCTCCGCCGTGTCCTTGCATGACACCACCATGTCCTGCACCTCCTCCTCCTCCTCCACCACCACCACCACCGGTAATTTAACCTAAAATATCATCAGGATTGGTGTGAGCAGGGTTAAGCTTTGAATTTTAGAACTGTAAGATGAATTTGAAAGGGTATAAATTACATTTTTGACTGTTTGGGTCTCGCAACTTTTGAATTTGAATTTGAATTGAACTTTTGAACGCAACTTTTCAAACAATGAAGTCCAGATGTTGTCGAAGTCCTTGAGAATGTTAGAATTAATAGAATAGCGATAGAATTGGGATTTAAAGTCGAAAATCTGACTTGTTCTTGATCTTGATCTTGATTCTGTAAGCTTAAAAAGTACCGGAAACTGCGCAATTAACAAACTTTCTTTGTCCGATGTCTGATCTTTTCCTTTCGAAAGCTAAAATGCGAACTAAACCCTTTATTGTGGAATTATTGACTTCTCGAGATCGAATCGATTTCTTAACCCCTTTCTTTCAGCCACCAATGTGTTGCCCAATGTGCGAGATGGCTCCGTGTCCCGTTTGTGAGCCTGAATTGCCGCCATGTCCGCCACCGGTAAAAACTGGAAATAAAATTCTAACCTATTTAAAAAATCTAAAACAAATTCTATGCCCAGAACCCAATTCAGGCCCCAATTGTGTGCGCTGTGCCGCCGTGTGCCGCTCCTCCTCCTCCTCCACCCCCCCACCACCACCACCACAGCCAATCTATGTGCCCGTTCGTTTTAAACTTTAAAAAGCCTTTAGCTAACCGCTACAGCTAGCTAGCCAGCTAGCTACATTTAGCTAAATAACTAATCCAAAAAATCTAGGTGCCAGTGCCCATGTGTGCTGCTCCTCCTTGCCCACCGCCTGCTCCACCACCACCACCAATGATCCCTGTGGGTTTTAGACATGGGAAAATTCCAACTCAAACCTAATTCCACCTCGGCATCGGCATTTTATCAATTGAATATCTTAACCTTATTATTCAACTTAATATTATTCAAACTTTCAGGTAACTTACTGTGCCATGCCCCCATGTGCTCCACCGGCTCCACGTCCAATTCCCGTTATGTACCAACCGGCTTATCAGGTGGATTTCATTTCAAGAGGCGATAAAATAATGGTATTATTGTAGCTTTTCATACTTATATCACTTATAAACTGTAAACTTGCAGCTATGCGCCTATCCACCGTGCCACGCCGCCCCACCACCACCAGCTCCACTCCCAGTCTATCAACCCGTTCAGCCAGCACCCGTAAGCTTTTAGGAAGCTAGCAAAAACTTTGGTTATCTGGTACATCACGTTATCTTTCTATATCTAGCATCCGTTAGTTTAGCTGAAGAAGCTGTAGCTGAAGAAGCTGTAGCTGAAGAAGCTGTAGCTGAAGAAGCTGTAGCTGAAGAAGCTGTAGCTGAAGAAGCTGTAGCTGAAGAAGCTGTAGCTGAAGAAGCTGTGGCTGAAGAAGCTGTAGCTGAAGAACTGAGGATAATCTAAATAAAAAGTGTTTATTGTTGAATTTTTCTTCTTTTGAGTTTAAACCATAGGTGAATTGGTGAATGTGTTATTTTTCAAGTACAAAGTACGAAGTACGAAAAGAAACGAAAAGACTTTCTGGACAGCCTAATTGTACACGCTGTTTCAATAAAAATCTTATAGACTATGTTTAGATTGAATTTCAAACCTTCAAAGAAATTTCTAGAACTTGTACACTTACCGTTTTTCATTTCCAGGTCTATAGCCCGTGCGCTGTGCCACCATGCGGAGCCTATCCGGGAATCGGCGGTGGAGCCTATCCAGGCATTGGCGGTGGAGCCTATCCGGGAATCGGTGGCGGAGCCTATCCAACACCGATCATTGGAGGAGGTGAGACTTGTAGATAAAATGGAAATTGGTAGGTAGATAAGTAAAGGTTTTAAAAGGTTTAAAAGGCTTAAAAGGTAGAAATGAAAGTATTTACAGTAAGATATCACAGTAGTACAAAAAAACTTGCAAACAACAGAGTCCACAAAGCCAAAGAGCTGCGATTGTTGGATTGTGGCGATTCCAATGATCTCATTTGATAACTTTATGGCTTTTTGATAGCTAGCATCGCCTCTTTTAGCTAGATAATGGCTAACTTAAACTAATAAAGCTTTTTAAAGTCAAATTGTGATTCCAATGTGATTATCAAATCTTAAATCCCAGGTGCCTACCCAGCCTATCCAGGCATTGGCGGTGGAGCGTATCCGGCGATCGGTGGGGGAGCCTACCCAAGCATGTACGCCCCAGGAATCGGCGGTGAGTGCTTGAATGTCAAAATATTAAAGTGGTAATACAAAAAGGTCACTAGTAGAGTTTTTTCGTGATTAATGCTTGATTTAAACTTTTCATTGATCATTTGCAAGTGTTTTTTCTCAATTGCCTCTTTACATCTCTTTGCAACAATGGCAGTGATATGGCCATTGCAACAATGGCAACAATGCCTTATCCTTCTTAAAGCTGAATGATAAAACGGGCCACCTTCCCTTTAGCTTTATGAAGATCTTATATAATTATTGCTGAAAGAAAGGCGAAAATTTATTCTACAGAAATATTCTAGGCGGTGCTCGTCCGGCTTATTCTTTCTTCTCGCGTGCTCATTACATGTACGGATCAAACAAGGGAAAAGCACGAGCTGAGGAGGTGAGTGCTGTGAGCTGATATAGCGTTAGTTAGTTAGTAAAGTTAGTTATAATTTTAGAACTTATTCAAAGGTTTTCTTTACTCAAACAAAAACAAACCGTAAAAATTACCTTGTCGGGATTCTACCTGCTGAATTTGAAACCCAACATTTCAACTCCGGCTTCCAAACGGTTTAAGTGTAGTAGCTTAGCGTAGCTTTGAGTTATTGTTGTTGTTATTATTTAAACTACACTACTATATTTTACATTTTACATTTTTCACCAATTTCAGAAAAAAACTCAATCCGATGAGCGAGAGGAGAAACCCGAAGAAGAGGAGAAAAATGAGAAGAACTGAATCGTCTAATTTATTTCAACCAATTTTCTACAGAAATATTGTGTTGGGTGTCTGTAAATATTGTCTTTTTAATGGTTTACGAATAAACAATGAGGGATAGATTTTATTTGGAAAAAGCAAATAAATAGCAAACAAATAGCAAACAAATTTGGCTAATCATCTCCCGAAATCGAGTACCCGTATTTCTGTTGAACCCTGTCCACACCGGATCACCGAATTGGTTACCTGAAATGAGACTCTTGGTGCTCGAATTTAGCATTCACTTCAGTTATAGCTGTTTATTGCAGCTGTCTATTGCGGCTGTCTATTGCAGCTACCTATTGCAGCTGCTTATTGCAGCTACCTATTGCAGCTATCTATTGCAGCTATCTATTGCAGCTATCTATTGCAGCTACAACTGAAGTCTGTTTTGAGTCTTGAGCTTTGAAATACACTGGATGCCCTCTCACACAAAGAACACCTCGCCAGTCATTTACATACAGATTTCTCTTGTAGATGTTATAAAATGAAGATATTTAGCTGTAAATTTGTACCGAGAGATCGGCGAGATTGGAGATATTCATTTTGTTGTCTCATTAGTCTAATGAGCAGTGACTTGTTGCAGTGCAGTGACCAATGAGCACACATTAGCGTCAGATTCAAGTTTCAAAGTAATCACGGTCTGGATTCGAGCTCTTTCTTTAATGGCATTCGCATTTTTGATGATTTCATTGATTACGATTCATATTTCTTTTGCAATAAAATACAAGTTTGTCGTTTCATGTTTAGTTTAGTGTCCAGCTTGATATCTCTTCACTCACCACTCCCAGCCTTTTTGCTAACGATCTCATAAAATTTTCCAATTGATCACACGAGAAATTCTCTTCATAACATGAAAGAATCAAGACTAGTTTCCATTTTTGAATCCACCAAATGATTTTCGAGTTTTCCAAGTGATCAAACTTGAGCTAAAGGTTAGATTTTAGCTAGAACTAGAGCTAGCTAGAGCTAGAACTAGAGCTAGCTAGAACTAGAGCTAGCTAGAACTAGAGCTAGCTAGAACTAGAGCTAGCTAGAGCTAGAGCTAGCTAGAGCTAGAGCTAGCTAGAGCTAGAGCTAGAACTAGAGCTAGAGCTAGAGCTAGAGCTAGAGCTAGAGCTAGAGCTAGAGCTAGAGCTAGAGCTAGAGCTAGAGCTAGAGCTAGAGCTAGAGCTAGAGCCAGAGCTAGAGCCAGAGCTAGAGCTAGAGCTAGAGCTAGAGCTAGCTAGAACTAAAGCTAGTTTGCTAGATTTTAAAAGCTTTTAGCTATCTGACATCTGTCAGATAAAATATCTGATAAAGTTTTAGATAAAATATGAAAGATTTGAAAAATCGTAACTTAAAATCGAAAGAACAGATCAGTTTGAAACATAAACATTTTAATGAATTTTAATGACTTTACTTTAATGAAACATCTATTCAGAATTCAATCTTGAAACCTGTTTTTCTAAAATTTGCACGATTTGATTCTTCTTCTCTTCCTGATATGTAACATTTGTTCTGATGAATACTTGGCCGGGATCCTCGCCGATTTGAGGCAATGATCGTCGTTTTCCTAAATTCTTTGAAGTTATCACTATAGAATTTTGATGAATTGAAAACTGCGGGACTTTGAACTAAACTTTGAACTAAAATTTATTGAACATAAAACCATGAATTCATTCGAAATAATTTCCATTATTATTGACGACTTCTGCCCATTTTAAAGGCAATTTGCGGATTCCTCTTTCGTAGTAGGATTTTGGTTTGTGTGTGAGACAAGTGTGAGACTCAAAAATGGAGGACTGGAACAAAAATTTACTAAGCTTTTGCATTAAATCTGAAGATGTAAAGTAATTTGTTTTTTAAAATATTGCATTTGACATAGTTATGCTAAGTTATGCTAGATATTTGAAATTGTTATGCTAAGTTATGCTAAGTTTTAGTCTAGAGGTGTTAAGGGCCGTTAAGGAACGTTAAGCAAGTCTATTCCTGAATGCTTTGAAACTAACCTTGCCAAACAGATAATGCCAAACTATGGACCGATATTCTAATACAGGATAATATAATCAACTAGCTAAACAAAGAATATTCAGGCTATGGCAAACCCACTTTCCAGACTGGTCAGAGACTCAGGTAAGCCATCGCTATTTGAATCGGGCGAGCAACACTAAATACACTTGTCTTTTCTCATTGTACCCCAGAGTTGAAATAAGATTTAAAATTTCATTAACAAGCTAGGCTAGCAATGAATTCAATCAATAATTTCACTTAATTATACAAAAATGAAAAAAAAAACTATTTTGTTAAGAAACATGTCATTTTTAGTAAGTCAAGATACTGAAAAAAAGCTAATTTAGAAGTTGCAAATTTAAAATTCAAGACTTGAACTTACAATGGCATAGGCGCTGTACAAGATTGACGATACAAGACTGTACAAGACAGCATTGGCGCTGTACAAGATGAGAAGTGAAAATATTGAGCGCATGGAGAGGAAAGAAAATAAGATTTCTATCTATCTATTCAAATTTGATTTATCTGAATATAGAATCAATTTCTCTTTTATAGAAGACGAATCCCATTTCGCTTACGTCATTTGTTTGTGTTTGTGAAGAGAATGGGCTGTGCTTTTCAGCACATTCAAAAATGGCAAGCATTTTTGAATACGATAAAAAGTTGGGTTGAGATTTTCATCGAATAATTCGTTATATATAAATGAACACACGCAAAAACTCATTTGACTTTACTTATCTTGACTTTACTCAAGCAATATTATTGGTTTTTAACCTTATCACTAAAGTCTGGATAGTTTGTAAATAGTTGTTTCTTTCAGTCAGTCAATTTCTTACAAAATCAGTATCTTTTGTCTTATAAACAAAGGCTATCGTAACTATCGTAACTATCGTAACCCGAACAAAGGCTATCGTAACCCGAATACTGTAGATTAGAAAAAACTAGACTAATTTGGGACAACTTTGATCGAAAAGCAACAAAACAATAAACTTGAAAAGACCAGTGTTTTAAATTCTCATTTTCTCTCCTTCACTTTGAAAATCTGATGTTTTATCTGAGGAAAAGCTGATGTCATGGTTGATTCGGATAATTTATGAGTTGTTTTTATTATTTTTCAATTTATGACGTTAAACATGCACAGATTTGAAAATATTTGAAATTTCAAAAAAGAGATTTGATGAAAGACCATTATGAGCACCATAAAATACCGTCAGAATAAACATGCAATAGTTTTTTTTGAAATGAAAATACGGGAGTGGGACAAATGCGACCTTTTTTTGCGCACCCGGACATTTGCGCACCTTTTTTTCCGCACCTTGCCCATTAGCGCACCTTTTTCGCGCACCTTTCGCGTTTTAAAAAAGCTTTAAACAGCTAATATTAACCAATTTCTATTCCAAAAGTTGTTTTTCTAGGTAATTTTAGGGCGTAGAATCGAAATTTTGACATATCAGAGCTTGTGGAAACAAACGGACGGAGTTATACAAAGAGAAAAATCGACATTTGAAGAATCGACATTTTCTGTAATTTGATCTAACCGTTTTGTCTTTCAAATTGGTTCCACAAGCTCTGATATGCCAAAATTTCGATTCTACACCCTCAAATTACCTAGAAAAACAACTGTTGGAATAGAAATTGGTTATTAGCTATATTAGCTTTTTAGAGCTTTTTTAAAACGCGAAAAAAGGTGCGCTAATGGGCAAGGTGCGGAAAAAAAGGTGCGCGCAAATGTCCGGGTGCGCAAAAAAAAAGGTCGCATTTGTCCCACTCCCGAAAATACAAATTAAATATAATTTTCAAAAAGATTAACATTCAAAACAACGAAATCTTTTCTTTTCAAATCAATTGCCCGTAAAATTTCCCGGATCCGCAAAGCTTTCTGTTTCATTGAAATGTTTCGGTTTCAATAAGTGATGCGGTAAAATATAGGCGCCAAGAATTATCAAAATACAACAAGAGATCAATCCGAAACCCAGCAATAACAAAAAAATCATGCATTTGGCGGATTTTTGATCACATCCCGATGCGCAAAGAACCGTGCCTGAAATTTAGCGAAAATTTCGTATATGAAGATACTAACTGTTTCTTAAGGCACGGTATTATTTGATCTTAAGTCACGGTATTGTTTAACTACCGATTGATAGCTTAATCCTAATTTCTTGCCCCAAAAGATCTATTACAATTAAATTTCGGTATTTGTCAATTCTACCCGTAACTCCAGAGTTTCCAAACAAGTTCAGGTCTATGAATCCTGTTTTATTTTATGCTATCAGGATGCGACGAATGTTCTGTCCTTCTTTGAATCCTCTCTAAAAGTTTCCTGGTTGATTTTATTTTAAAAGTGTTTTATATCTAATTTTCTCCTTCTTATTATTATTATCAGCGGAAAACGCTCAATATCGTCCACGTTTTCCACGCAATCTAAGCCCCGCTCCTTTTGCCAATGGCTGCGCACAGACGGACAGACATCTCTTTTGCTTTATATTAGGTTGATGCATAAGTCTTTTCGTTTTTTTCGTACTTCTGCTAAAAAGTAACAAATTCACCAATTAATCTATAGTTTGCTCTATAAAAAAAGTGTTTTTTTGTTCAATTTCCATCTTTTCAAATCAATTTCGGTTCACTTTCAAGCAAATTCGAGAGTGAAAAACGCCTTTTTCGTAAAAATCTATAAAAAACTCTACGGAAAAATTGGCTGAATGAATTTCTCTGAAATTTTGGCGAAATATCAAAATTTTTTTCTCTATCTTTTATCTATTAACACGAAGATAGGTTTTCTTTAGCTCAGGTGTCTAAACCGCATCATCGAGTTAGCCCTTTTTGACTACCCGACTTCATACTCTCAAGAAAATCCAGGCATTAAATATTTTTAAACCCGTACTTCATTTTAGAGTAGAAGCTGTGGCGAAAGTTCTGTCCTTTTTAAAATGCTCTTTAATTCTCTCTGATTGTTATTATTTTTTAAGTGTTTATAGCCAAAAGATAGCCAATTTTTACTCCTAATCGTCTGAGTTCTAAGTTTTATAAATTTTCTTATACTAATAATACTAATAACTGGTGCGACTACAGAGCTCACGCAAATTGTGATAACTCAAAACTTAAATGAGCTATTTAAAAAAGGTAATAAGATTTAAATTCTGTGAAAAATTGGCTATCTTTGGCTATTTGGCTATATTTTGGCTATAAACACTTAAAAAAATAATAACAATCAAAGAGAATTCAATTAAAGAGAATTTTAAAAAGGACTGAACTTTCGCCACAGCCTGTACTTCATTTTAAAGCTAGAATCTGAATATAATAATAATCTACTATATATAAAGCAAAAGAGACGTCTGTTCGTCTGTGCGCAGCCATTGGCAAAAGGGGGCGGAGCTTAGATTGCGTGGAAAACGTGGACGATATTGAGCGTTTTCCGCTGATAATAATAATAATAATAATAATAATAATAATAATAATAATAATAAGTGCCAAAAAGGAATTGATACGGGGGATTGATAAAAAATTCTTTACTTGGACTCCCTATTTCTTGAAACATTCTTTTTCAAGAAAGAAATATCCTTTTTCAACCAAGTGGACATTTTCGCAATGAGTTTTAGTAATGCATTATATTTTACATTCTCTTTGAAGCTTTCCACTTTTAAACCAACTGCAGGAGTTTCAAACTATTTTTAGAAAGTTTTCAACTTTGCAAATATACCAAGTGCCAAAAATCCCGCCAAGCAACACCCCAAAATGTCGTTGTCCGTGTTGACCGGCACGTGGAAATAGTCTGAAAGTGATGGATCAGATCTTGAGATATACCAATCAACAATTTAATCATTTGATCAGTATCAGAATATATTCAAAAGTACAAAATTGAGTAATTTAAGTCTATTGATCACCAACCAGAACTTGTCGATGTTTCCTTGCTATTACTTCGTTTTTCATTTAGTGTCGAAGTGCCTGGTTCGAGATCCATTTCATAAAAAGCTGGAACTGGCTGTATTCTAACTGAATCTAAAATAAGTTCATTACCAAAACTCTTCCAGTACAATAAGATAACTAAAAGGAAACAATTGGTAATTAAGAAGATGTAAAACAAAAAAAACTTTTGTTGGAATGGAAATGAATGTTTCAACTTAACTGATTACTAAGAGCAATTGAGTTTTTTGATTCTTCGGCCATTTGAATTCGCGAGGAAATTGAGGTTCGCTTGTTTTATTAGGTGTTTCTTCAAAACAATCGTTTCAATTCGATCTCTTTTCGATTTTAGCGGCTATTGAGAGCTGCAAGCAGTATAGAAAGTTTTTATTTCGATTGAGTCAAGATAAATGCAATCCTTTTTATTGTAAAACCAATTTGATGTTTGCTGCTTTTTATGCAAATTTTGTTTTACTTTTAACAGAAGCGTTTCAGTTTTTTAAACTCGAAATATCACTTATCACTCAATTAAAAAGTAAGATGACATAACAATCTAACCCGAGCAAGTAATTTAAAAAAGGCGTTTGAATAAATGAATTAAATGAATTTAAACGAAAAAAGGCAAATAAATGAATTTGAATGATTAACTGGGGATAGGTTAATTTCCGCAACTGGGTCGTTTGCGCAACTCTCTATAACTTTCTTCTAAGTCGGTCAATCTTTATGATTCTGGTTTCGTTTTGTAGATCTCAACAAAGTGCAACAAAATAAAACCAAAATCATAAAGATTGACCGACTTAGAAGAAAGTTATAGCGAGTTGCGCAAACGACCTAGCTGCGCAAAAAAAAATTGCGGAAACTAGCCTACCCCGTGTAATAGCATTATTGCATTATAGCAAAAAACCAAAAAATACAGTGATGTCGATTTGATTGTTAAAAGACAAGATTTAAATAAGATGAATGAAACTCTAAGCCTTGTTTTGGAGAAAATCCCGAATTTTTGCGCAACAGGTTATTGGGCTAGGCTAATTTTCGCAACTCTCTATAACTTTCTTCTAAGTGGAACAATCTTTATGCTTTTGGTTTCATTTTGTAGATCTCAAAAAGTGCAATAAAATGAAACCAAAATCATAAAGATTGACCGACTTAGAAGAAAGTTATAGCGAGTTGCGCAAAGGACCCAGTTTCGCAAATGACCCTGTTGCGCAAAAAAATTGCCGAAATTAGCCTACCCCATTAACTGCGCAGATTTGGGTTTTTTCTTCAAAACAAGGATTATGAATTTCAGCATCTATTTAAAATGCTGCAACAATCTAATGAACAGATGAAGTTTAATATAGAATTTTAGGGACATAAAGAGTAAACTTTTAGTGAAACAGTGAAACAATCGATCGATGGGTTTACCTTGAGTCATCGAAATAGGAAAATTTCTCCGTTTGACAATAACAATGTCGTTGTGGATCGCCGCGAGAGAACAGGGAAAAGAGAAGAGGAAAAAAGAAGAGAAAAAAGAAAGGGAAATTCTTTGTCAATGCGAAAAAGAGACAAATTAGAAACTAGGGTAAACTAGGGTGTTTTAACGTTACAAAAATGTTGGTTATATTGGTTATTTTGTTAGAAAAGGATCACGGGTACTTTTCCAATATCGGGGGAGCGAAAGGAAAATCAGGGGAGCAAATTTTGCTCCCTCGAAAACTGCATTTCCGGAACTGTATTTTAAGTGCAACGTTTAACGACGATGCGCTTCTCCGGCATTTGTGCGTTTAAGGAATCCACGGCAATCGATTATTTCGTCACCAAAGGAGTCATCCAGTTGTGGATTTGCAACTGTGGCGAGTTGATGAAAGTCCGCTCAAAGGGAAAAGATCTATTTCTCTGGGTATGTGACACTTGCGCCCAGCGAAAGGTCCCCAAGCATTCAAGAGGAATTCGAGTCGATAACTTTTTGCAACAAAGCAAGCTCCCGTTCGTCACAATTTTAAAGTTCACTCATCTATGGAGCCAGGGACTCATGGCAATCAAAAACTGTCAGCAGGAGCTCGGCATTAGTGGCGACACCGTCGTTGAGTGGAACTACTTTCTCCGCCAAGTGTGCGCTTGGAAGATCGATTAACAAGATCGATTAACAAGAAGCTTTCGATTAACAAAATCGGTGGTGCCGGACTCACCGTGGAGATCGATGAATCGCTGATCGCAAAGCGCAAAAGCCACGCCAGTAGGATGCTGCCAGAACGTTGGCTTTTTGGTGGTCTGTGTCGTGAAACAAGGGAATGCTTCGCTTTTATTGTACCAAACCGAACGGCTCCAGTTCTGCTTGAAGCTATTCGAAAACATATCGAAAAGGGGACTCGAATCATCTCTGATGGATGGCGTGCATAATAAGGGCTTCTCACTGACCCAAATTACGATTTTGCATGGGTCAACCACTCGACAAATTTTGTTTTGCCGACAGATCCGACCGTGCACACGCAAACAATCGAGCGAATGTAGAAACCGTTTAAAGACATGAACAGACGTCGACACGGCACCATGGTGGATTCGTATATCGCTGAGAGATTGTGGCATCGCAATTTGCCTGCCGGAGTGGATGCATTCGAGTTGATCATGGAGGACATCATCGATTTTTGGCCCATGGAGACGGAAATGAATACAATCCATTTTTACAGTTAATTTGTGATTGCTAGGAATGTTTTGTTTTGGTTACTTTTGTTTTGGTTACTTTTGTTTTGATTACTTTTTTTTTTGGTTACTTTTGTTTTGGTTGCTTTTGTTTTGGTTAGTTTTGTTTTGGTTAGTTTTGTTTTGGTTACTTTTGTTTTGATTACTTTTGTTTTGATTACTTTTGTTTTGGTTACTTCGTTTACATTTCTTTCGTTGTTATGGTCAGTTATACTACTAATGAATAATTTTTTAGGTTGCCATTTTGTTCGTTCGGGATTGTGGAGCGTTCGGCAAAAAGAAAAGGCGACCGATAGTGAAGGTAGAGGTAGGTTTGGTCTTAGATATTTAAGTCGCTTTTGTGATAGATATCTAATATAAAGGTTGGAAGAATAACGGGTAATTCGCGGATATTATCGTGATAATTTGTATAATATAGAACATACGTAGCGCTGGCAAAATTTGCTCCCCTGATTTTAATTTCGCTCCCCCGATAATCCTTCCGCTCCCGCGATATTGGAAAAGTATCGAACAAATTTTTAGAGAAAATGACTCCCTTTTAAAGAAAGTGCCGAGAAAATGCTCGTAGGGTTTTTTTGTTTTTGATTAGGTCCGCTCCACTCAAAGAGAAAAGATCTATTTCGCTGGGTATGTGACACTTGCAACATCTCGCATTCTTTTTCTTCAACACCGAGAAGCAATTCACGGTCATACCCTTTTAAAAAGGAGATCAGTTGGGTTAGAAGTGCTCAACGCTTTGACGAGCGGTCACAAATTGTGTTGCCAACACAAAGTATCGGATCACGTTTCAATTTTACTCGAATTGTTGAGGCAGTTTATTCGATTGGACATAGGTGTCTATCCATTCGCAAATGGTTTTAATTTTAGAAAACTGATCAGTTGATATTAAAAAACTGGAGAAAAACGGAAAAAACGGATAGAAATTTGTTTTGCCGGTTGGATAAATCGTCGTTGATCGTCCTCGAACCCAAACAATTTGAAACTTTCATTTTTTTACACTTTTGTTTTGTATGTTTGACGAAATAATAAATATTTTTGCTTTGTCAACTTGTTAAAATTTATATAAATTGAATCAAATATATGTTTTCTAGACGAATTTGCAAGAACTTATAGGCTTTCTAGACGAATTTCTGGTTCTGAGTTTAAAGCGGTATCAAAGCGATATCAAAAATGTCCGGATCAGCACACATGAGATACCAAAATGATCCTTGAACTCTTTTTTACAACTTTCAATCAGAAATTCCTGACGAAAATTTGTTTGAGTGAACTAAAATCCGGTCAGAAGGTATCCAAATGGGTTTTCTCATCCCAAAAGTGGGACTTTGACAACGTCAATCGCGATAGATTCAACTCTGTCGCGATAGATTATTGTTTCCGACGCTTTTTATAATTAAAAAGGAGAAATTACACAAGATAATGGTAGATTACACTCAGACTTTTGTAAAGAATCTGGAATCGAATCGGAAGAGTTGAGATTGATGCGCTCGCCGAATCGATGCCAAAGCAAATGGATATGCTTATCAAAAATGGCGGAAAATCTATTAAATATTAGGGTGAACCAAAAGTTTTCTATTTTTTTTTCTCTTTAAGTTTGAACAATTTTTTAAAGCTAATAAATTCTTTTTATATATACGTGCCATATTTATTTTGTAGCATTTGATCTGCTCTTTCATATTTTACTAAGTTATCGTGTGTTTAACTATTTATTTTTTATTTTTTACTTTGTAGGAAAGAGATGGAAAAATTCAAAATTCGGGTATTCGGCGCCATTTTTGGAAACAAGGGTTCAATGCAACTGAAGCCGCCAAAAAATATACCAAGTGGAAGGTGAAGGAATGATCTCCAGCATATTGGCAACGAAAATTTAAGAACGGCGAACTTGGTCTCGAAGATCAGCCACGTTTGGGTCGGCCAACTACTGTGGATTCTGAAGCTCTACGCAATGCTGTTGAAGCCAATCCATCAACCAGCACTCGCAGGCTCTTCGCTGAACTGGATATTCCTCAAACATCAGTTATCCGGCACCTTCATGCCCTTGGAAAGATCAACAAAAGCTGCCGAGACGTTGCCACATGATTTAACGGAAAATCAAGCTCAAAATCGTGTAGACACTTGCCGAAAACTGCTGGAAAATCCGCACGATGATCGCTTTATTCTCCGAATTGTGACTTGTGATGAAAAGTGGGTCTATTTTAGTAAGCCGGACAAGCAAAGTGAGTGGTTGAATCCCGGGCAAGTAGCGGAACCGGTAGCAAAACTTGGTCGATTCTCAAGGAAGGCATTATTGTGTGTTTGGTGAAATTTCGAAGGCATTATTCACTTTGAGCTGGTTCCAAATGGGCGGAGCATCGATGCAGACCTCTACTGCGCCCAACTTGACCGGATGTATGCGGTGCTTAGTGAAAAATATCCCGCTTCGGTCAATCGAAAGCGCATAGTCCTTCAGCAGGACAATGCAAAACCTCACACCGCCAGACAAACCAAGGAAAAGATCAAAAATCTCGACTCAATTGAACTTCTTCCACATCCAGCGTACAGTCCGGACCTTGCACCATCCGATTATCATTTTTTCCGCTCCATGGCACACTTCCTTCGCGAACGAGCCTTCAACAATCTGGGCGAAGTCGAAAAAGGGTGCCGCGGGTTTTTCGCCTCTAAGAACAAGGAGTGGTACCGCCGCGGGATCGACCAACTTGCCGCTAGATGGCTTCAAGTCATAGATTCAAATGGTCTTAATTCGAAACTTAGAGTTCGTTCATTGTTGTTTTATTTATGATGAAAGTTTTAATAAAAAAAAATAGAAAACTTTTGGTTCACCCTAATAGTTGGCTAGTGGTGAGCTAGGTAAATGCTCAATCTACTATTTATGGCACGTATTCAACCAATTTATTCTTTAATCACTTTTTAAAAAAACAAATTACTTTTTCTCAAACACATCTCCTTTCGCGGCAATACAGGCCTAAAGGCGCTTTGGGAAGGCATCAATGGTGGCAGATATGAACATCCAGCTCATCCCATCCCTTTTGCAATGATTTCTTCAAAGAATCGACTCTGGAATGGACCTTTTTTTGCAAGCTTTTGACTCCAAAACAGACCAAACACTGTAATCCAAAGAATTCAATTCTGGGCTTGATGGAGGTCATTGGTTGAAAGTTATGAAATTGGGGAAATTTTGCTGACACCAATCCTGAACAACTTGACACCAACCAAAAAGCTTTATGAGCTTTTTCCCCACAGCGGAAACAAACTGACATTTTGAGTACTTATAGGCTTTCATTTTCAGATGTTTCTTAACAATTGTGCCCATCGATCCCTTTGAAATCCCCATCGAATTTGCCATTTTTCGCTGGGACGTCGCTTATCGCTGCTTGTTGTTATGTCGCACTCGTTCGCGGTTTGATCCTCTCGATGTTGACTCTTGTAAGACTGTCTCCGTTCCTTTTTCGCAGTCGTTCGCGGATCCTCTTGATGTTGACTCTTGTAATCACCGTTGCTTTTTTGCCACACCCTGGACGATTTGATTTTGAGGGACCTAGTCAAAATAGCGCCACCAAAACAGCGACGTTCAAAACAGCGCCATTCAAAACAGCACCCGTACAAAAATAGCGCCGTTCAAAACAGCGCCCATACAAAAATCGCGCCGTTCAAAATAGCGCCCATACAAAAATAGCGCCAAATTGAAAGAGACTGCGATTAGATTTTTCAACCCCAATGTTTTTATACTTCTCATCAGAACTTGTAACTTTTGTTATTTTTTAAACATTTCTAAGCACCTTGCGCGTGTTTTTTGCCAAACCGACAGATTATTTCATCATCAGAATCAGGTTTTATGGCCCATTTTAAATAAACAATGCGACACATTTTTTATTTTTCATCGTTTTTTTTCTTATTTTTTTCTGTTCTTGGGACTTAATTTTTTGTTTTTTTAGGTAAAAGAACGTCGCCTGAAGAAATAGAAGGCTCCTTGCAAGTGATTCGGCGTGGCTAGCGACAAACACAGGTATTTTTCACACAATATAGTTTGCGAAGAAGTTCTACTTGTATAAGGTAATAACTTTGTTTCTTTGATCTTAAATAAATGTAATAAGATTGATTAAGCCAGTTTTTACACTTTTCTGCAAAATTTTGGTATCTCAACATCTTTTTTAATTTAGGGATGTCGCTATCTCAGAAAGGTGGAGTGCTACTTTACGATGAAGATGGACACGAGTATCGGAAGGACAAAACAATCCGAAAAGGGGTAGCTACAGCTTATCGGTAATTTCTTTTTACTAGTTTGGTTGTATATTCGTTGAACATTTTAAAGTTTTCTTTTAGTTGTACGAAAACAAACTGCCGGGGAAGGATGCATAAAGATGAAGCAACTGGAGTCCTTTCTGTCACCAACGAGCACGCTATGACCTGCCTGCCATTGAAAGAAAAAGAAGAGGTACGTATTGTTTTGTTTAACTTATCGTTTCTTGTTTATATTTTTAGATACGTGGAATACACTGTGGCGCCAAAAACGATCGGATTGCTGGAGTTCCGACGAAGGAAATTATTAAACGACGTGTTCTCGGAGCTCGCCCACACTTATTGCCTTATCTCAATGCCAAGGGTATTCAACAAATGGCTCGTCGGCAAGTCAAAATCGATGGTGATAGAGATTGGCCTGCTCCGGTCACTGGAACTTTTCGTGAGTTGTTGTTATGTTAGCCTCATAAATATTTACATTTAGGGGTTTTATTCTTACGATATGATAACTGCTCAAACTACCCAGCTCCACACGCAAACGCAATTAAATTCTTTGCTACTGATTGGGGAATCGATATGTTACTTCAGGTATATTAAACTCTTTAGACTTTCAACTTTAATAACAAAAGTTAAATACTTTTAGCACCCTATTTGGAGTATTGATGGCACGTTTTATGCGGCTCCCTTTGGGTTTTCTCAAATTCTGGTGATCGGGGTTGAGGTTTTTTTGTTATGTTAGTTTTATAGTTTTGTTTTTAGATAGATCATCTTTTCGTTCCGTGTGCATATGCATTCCTGTCAAGCAAGTTGATACAAACGTAGCGACGTCTTTGGTCTGGTCAAACAATTGGGATTACCACCACCAACAAAAATTAAAACAGGTTATTTTTTGTTTATTTTGCATCGAAAAATTTATAAAACATTTTTAGATATGGAGCTGGCTATTGTCAACGGTTTTATGGCAGTCTATGGCAACACATCAACCATACATTTCTGTTGTTTTCATTTCTTCAAGGCCATCTTTCGCAAAATTAAGGTTATTAAACTTTGGTTTTTCAATATTTATTTATTCTTTTAGGAGAAGAAACTACAAGACATCTATTGTGATTCAAATATGTTTGTCTACGTGAAAGGATTGCTTGCACTGACATTCATAAGACCTGTTGATGTCTTGCGATATTTTCGTGTACTACGAGATGAAGCCTTCAAACAAATTCCCTCCCTTATTAATGAGTTACAAGGTTTGTTATTTATCTTTGTTATAGATTTAATTTTTAAAATTAGGCTTATATTCGTACTTCGAAAAATCTTTTGTTGGATTTGTTCAAAATAGTCGCTTCATTCGACCAACACACTCCATTGAAACGTGGAACTCGTATGATACAATCTGTCGTGGCGAACAACTTGGCAACTCGTCTCAAGAATCTTACAATTCTTTACTAAAAGTTTGTGTTTTTAATGTTTAGTTAATGTTTAAAGATTTAGGCTCTTACTTCACGATGTTCTGCTCGTTATGTTGCTCAAAAGCTACTAGATATTCAAGAAGACTTCGAAAAAACGTCTTCTTGCGGCTACATCTCGGCACATGACTCTACCTCAATCTTCGCCTCAATCGTCGAAAGTTCTTCACGGCCATCGTGTAAGAAAAGTTGCGGTTCAAAATGGATCGTTGGGTAAGAGTCCAGTCGATCATTTAAAATCTTTATGTTGTTATATTCATATGTGTTAACTGCGTTGTTTAATTTTTTCATTTTGTTACTTGAATAAACAAATTTTTATGTACTATTTTACTTGAGAATGTACGAGAAAATAAAGCCTTTATGGAAAACTCCAAAAGAGCATTGGTTAATCTACATTAAAATCTTTAAATTCGGCGATGTTTTGAACGGCGCGATTTTTGTATGGGCGCTGTTTTGAACGGCGCTATTTTTGTATGGGCGCTGTTTTGAACGACGCTGTTTTGAATGGCGCTGTTTTGAACGTCGCTGTTTTGGCGGCGCTATTTTGACTAGGTCCCGATTTTGATGAGTTTGATCCCAAAGATTTACATCGGTCAATCGTTTTCGAAACCAAACTTCTATCAATCAATCAATCATCGACGAGCAATTTCGATTTGCCGGACTTGCCGGAAGATGGATGATCGAATCTCGATGTGGTGACTTTTTCGCGATTCCTAAAATATTCCAAAAAAACTATAAAATTATATTGGAAAACATCATAACTAATAGAAAACATTTTAAAAAAACACATAATTAACGTAAAAACTAGACTAAATACCGTAAATACTGTAATAGTACCCCAGCCCCCTCGTACAGTCGCGTAGTCGCAAAAATTTTTTAGTATTTCATTTTTTTCAAAGCGCCCGTACTTTCAAAAAATGCGTCTTTGGTATCAAAAAATAGCTGAAATTCAGGGCTATTTTTTGATACCTAAACGAGCATTGTAGCATAAACCAGTGTCGAGAAAACCTCGTTCAAAGCTAGACTACGCAACACTCCACACCGTCATTATGGGGGTGGGGTACTATTACAGTATTTACGGTAGCTGATTAATACAGTTGGTACGTGTGTTGCCGTAATTATTGGGGGACCCTGTAGAATCCAAACAATTTGAAACTTTAGTTTTTTTCAAGAAGTACAAAGTAATTTAGTAAAGTAAAAAAAGTAAAATTCGAAGATTTCTTTTTGATGTAATAAAATATTAATAATATAATAAAATGTGATAAAATTCAAAGATCAAATAAAAAACATTGAACTGATAAGTGTTCTCCTTTAAAATTTATCCATTAAAGCAAGAAGATTCAATTTTTCCGGCTGATTACTCTAATTAGTGAAGAAAATATTGAGATTTTTGCAACATTTTTCACAAAATTATACAGTAGAATAATATTTATTTTAATATAAATAAATAATATAAATTTTAAGCTCGTTTATGATCGTTTATCGCTCTAAGAATTGATTTATAAAAAAAAATTGTCAAGAAAACACTGTTATTAGGTATAATCCTAGGTTTCCTAGGTATAAACGGTATAATCCTAGGTATAAACGGATGTGGACTAGAATTTGGTTTAAGTTAAAGAGTCCCTTAGAGTAGAGAGTGGATCCCTTTTGATATCCCGCCATTTCTAACACCCCGACAACCCAACTCAACTCCTCCAACGTATTAGAGGGGAGTCCCTGTGAAATGACCGACCTGTACTGCAGTTAGAGTTACTGCAGTTAGACCCGGAAGATATGTATCTTTATTTACAGTAGTACAATAAGACGAATAGACTATAAATGAGTGTAAGGGGAAGGGGGAACTCCAACTCTCCAATGAGAGTCTCACTTGTCCTCCTAGGCAATCCCAAGGACCGCCCCTTCTCGGCAATAAAAGGGATAAGCACAGGGAAGAACACATTTGCATAAGAATAGACAAATCATTCAATAATAACAATAGTAACTAGAATATCAGTTTGGCTCGGAGCTGACAACAGTTTAAAAGTTTTCAGATCAATCAATTCAAATCAATCAATCAATCAAATCAATTGTGAAAGGTTAACAAACGAAATGAAACATTTAAATCATCAATTTGAATCACCAATTTGAATCACCAATCTCAAATCAGGTTTTGAATCCATCGAATCCACCAATTTGAATCAAATTCAAAGATAAAAGGGTTAGGTGAGTCGATAAATTAATTGAAAACAGATCAGCTCAAAAACTGGGTCGAATTACTAGGGAAATTAGTGGAATTCGATGGCTCAGTTGATGCCCATGAAGAAGGACTTTCAGTTTTGTGATGTGTGAGATAAAGAAGCACAAATACGGCTGCACAAAGTGTTCCCAACATCACGAGGAAGCCAAGCAACACGCACCACCAGCCACGGCGAGAGTCCGGGTTCTCTCCCAACTCGTTGCACCCTTTCACACAACAACAAGCAGCTGAAATCTTCTTTCACTGACTACTAGCTTTCAAATACCTCCTAAACATCCGATTCCAAGCACGACAACTACACAAGCCATATCTTCATTCATGCAATCATTGCTCCCACATCCCGAACCAAACATATTCCTGAAAAGGGTTTTGTTTAATCTTTTTAACCTTGTTTTATATCTTATGTTCAGTAAATAATTTGATAAATAACTAAATTTCTTATTTTTAAACCTTATTTTAAACCAAACTTCGATCATTCCTAGTGTTTTGAGGTTCGTGAAGCTCTGCAGTCATCTCTGCAGCTCTGCAGCTTGAAACTTGAAACTTGAAAAATATTTGAGTGAGAACTGAAGTAATATTACGATGAAAATAATATATCTACAAATCTATATCTACAAAATAAAAGCTATTAGATTAAAACACAAACTCTTTGCCTGATCCTTCTTGGCATTTTCAATTTTCAAGGTCACCAAATTTCCCGGAACATTTTTTGCGTCTTTAAAAATTTTGTTTGAAATTTTATCGAAAAAAAAATTGTTGAGATCTTTGATGTTTATTTTTGCGCAGTGCTTCGCCGCAAACGGACACGTCCAAATTCTCCGGCGTAGGCATCGGCTTGACCCGAAACGAGACCGCCAACATCGTAAGGGATTGGTTGCTGAAAATTTCGAAATTTCGAAATCAAAACTAAAGGAATGATTTCGTTAAATGATTCGTAAATGATTTGATTAAACTTTAAACATCTTTTACATCTTTTTACAAATTTCCCAATCACTCACCTGTGCCTCTTTCCAATCGCCGTGTTTTGAGCCTTCGATTTTGGGTGACTAAAAAAGAATAGAGATTTTTAAAATTTTAGATATCGTACTTATTAGATTTTGGCATAAGTTTACCATAAATTTTGACTATTTTGACTATCATTCGATGCAGAAGAAAATTGCGTGTCGAATGATACCAAAATTAACTCAAAACTTAATATTCATGCAAAGTTATGAGGCAAAAGGTAAAGTCCCGCTTATAATGGGCGGGGTTTAGGTTTTAGCCAACAACTTTGCGTGGTTAGTAAATTTTGAGTTAATTTTGGCATCATTCGACACGTAATTTTATTCTACTAGCCAACTACTAGCCTTGTAACGAAAATATCTGTCAATCCTTTTTTTGCCGTTGGCAGTTTAAGGTTTTACTTGTTTTTCTCAGCACGAACTCTTCAATTTTGGCTATTTTGACTATCATTCAATGCAGAATAAAATTACACGTCGAATGCTACCAAAATTAACTCAAAACTTAATATCCACTCAAAGTTGTTGGCTAAAAACCTAAACCCGGTCATTTTTTAAAATTTTAGACATCATACTTATTAGATTTTGGCATAATTTTATCTACTAAGTATAAAAAAGAATTCTCTGTCTGTTACGAGAAATTTGAATACGAAATTTACATTTGTAAAGGAAATTAACTGAAATTAAGCCGAGATTACAGTTTTCAATTTTCATTTTTTAGTCCCTTTCTCCAAAACTAGTAGATGTTTTTGGGAGTTCAAAACATCAATCGATAGCAAATTTTCTTGCGCATCTTTTAAAGTAAAAGCCATTGCGAATGGCTTATTGGGTGGCGAGAAAATCTACAAAGTGTAAAGGGGGAGAGTACTCCCTTAAAGTGTCCCCCTAGGTTCCATTTGAAATATCCTGGGATTCCTTCGAGCAATCCATTCTACAATTAAAAACAGTAAAACTAGAATTAAATGCGCATATTTTACAAAAAAAAAGGTGGTTCAAAAGGTCCAAATGTGGCCGAGATATGAGGGTAAGATGAAAAAAAATGACACCTTTCGAAAGTGTCCCTTTTTCTTCCCATATCTCGACTCCTCTTCACTATTTTTAATTACTTCTTTTTTGCAAAATATGCGCATTTAATTCTAGTTTTATCACTTTTATTTGGCATATACGGGGAGTGGGACAAATGCGACCTTTTTTTTGCGCACCTGGACATTTGCGCACCTTTTTTTGCTGGAAACGGCCTTAGGAAAGGTCGTAGAGCTTCGAAAATATTTCCATATAAGGGAATCGTATGCGTAGATTCTGAATTTCGACAAATCAGACCTCGCTGACACGTCAAATTTGGGCTAAAAGGCAAAAACTGCGGAAAAGCGTTGAGTTGCGTAGTTTTTGCCTTTTAACCCAAATTTGACGTGTCAGCGAGGTCTGATTTGTCGAAATTCGGAATCTACACGATTCCCTTCTATGAAAACATTTTTGAAGCTCTACGACCTTTCCTAAGGCCGTTTCCAGCAAAAAAAGGTGCGCAAATGTCCAGGTGCGCAAAAAAAAGGTCGCATTTGTCCCACCCCCGCATATACGTTTTTAATAAAGATCCCAGAATATTACGCAGCTGTAAACAACTGGTCTAATAGATAAACTGAAAAATCTATTGTTATTGTTAAATTTGTTAAAATTATTACCTTAAAGAACCCATCCCATTTCGCCAGTTGCCACTCGACGGCGGCCAGGGTGCCCAAAATCGCGTTTTCCTCATAAATCATGAATACGCGGATGCCCATCTGGAAAGTTGAGATTTAAAAATTAATCTTTCACTGCTGTCCGGCTGAACTTGGCGAATCAATGGTACTTGAAAACGTAAAAAGCTTATAAACTTGCGAAATGAAGAATTGAAAAGAAACGAATTGAGATCATGAAGAATGGGTAAGTAAATGGATTTGTTTTTTTTTAATTTCGTGCTTTAATTTAATAGTCAAACATTTCAAACATCAGTGCTATGTTAAGCTGACTTATCAAAAGACTTAGCTGACTAAATCAAAAGCCAATTACCAAGCTAGCAAAAATGACTTTCAACTTTTCATTTTAAAGAATTGAAGAACAATGTCTTTGCTTTTTTAATTTTAACGGCACCAACTACTAGCCTTGTAACGAAAATATCTGTCAATCCTTACGGTCAATCCTTACGGTCAATCCTTACTGTCAATCCTCACTGTCAATCCTTACTGTCAATCCTCACTGTCAATCCTTACTGTCAATCCTTACTGTCAATCCTTACTGTCAATCCTTACTGTCAATCCTTACTGTCAATCCTTACTGTCAATCCTTACTGTCAATCCTTACTGTCAATCCTTACTGTCAATCCTTACCGTCAATCCTTACTGTCAATCCTTACTGTCAATCCTTACTGTCAATCCTTACTGTCAATCCTTACTGTCAATCCTTACTGTCAATCCTTACTGTCAATCCTTACTGTCAATCCTTACTGTCAATCCTTACTGTCAATCCTTACTGTCAATCCTTACTGTCAATCCTCACTGTCAATCCTTACTGTCAATCCTTACTGTCAATCCTTACGATCAATCCTTACGATCAATCCTTACTGTCAATCCTTACTGTCAATCCTCACTGTCAATCCTTACGATCAATCCTTACGATCAATCCTTACGATCAATCCTTACTGTCAATCCTTACTGTCCTTATCTGTCAATCAATACTTACATGAAATGGGATGGGTTCTTTAAGGTAATAATTTTAACAAATATCTTTTTTGCCGTTGGCAGTTTAAGGTTTTTCGTGTTTTTCTCAGCACGAACTCTTCAATTTTGGCTATTTTGATTAGCATTCAATGTAGAATAAAATTACGCGTCGAATGATGCCAAAATTAACTCAAAACTTAAATCCACCAAATTTGCCCCGCCCATATAAGCGACTAACCTTGCCTCATAACTTTGCATGAATATTAAGTTTTGAGTTAATTTTGGTATCATTCGACACGTAATTTTCTTCTGCATCGAATGATAAACAAAATAGTCAAAATCGAAGGGTTGATGCTGAGAAAAACACAAAAAACCTTAAGCTGCCAACGGTAAAAAAGGGACGACAGATATTTTCGTTACAAGTTTACCAGCTACTGCGTTTAAATTCAAAATAACCTGGAAAATCGGCATCGAGAGCACAAACCAGATGAGTGGCAAGGCGGCTGTCTAAAGATTCAGAAATGTTTTTATATCTTCGTGAAAATTTTTGTAGGACTTAGTCCTTTATAGTTCCTATTTGTTCCTTTAAAGTTCCTTTATAGTTCTTTTATAGTTTCTTTATAGTTCCTTTATAGTTCCTATTTGGCTCCTTTAAAGTTCCTTTATGGTTCCTTTAAAGTTCCTTTAAAGTTCCTTTAAAGTTCCTTTAAAGTTCCTTTATAGTTCCTATTTGGTTCCTTTAAAGTTCCTTTAAAGTTCCTTTATAGTTCCTTTATAGTTCTATAAAGTCTATAAAGGAACTATAAGAGCTCGAATTGGTAAAGTTCAAGTTGAAACGTGATATTTTAAAACTTTAAAACTAAAGCATAAGGGAAATTGCGTTACAAAGATGAATGTGAATCAAATCAAATCAAATCAAATTTTTAATATCATAAAATCCATTTACCGTAGCATTCCTCGGCACATCGTCACTCATGCCCATTCCGGAGATCGTGATGAACGTGTAGTAGCAGCCGTCCCAGAAACCCATCGGCTCGTCCATTCCCTAAAAAAACCGTAAAGCTTTTTTTGACTAACCCGTTTTCTAAACCGTCTCCCCTTTATACCGTAATCTTGTCTCTATTTTCATCTAATCTATCCACTTTTTGACTGATTCTGCGAGGATTCACAAAGGATATCGAAGAATATAAAAGGGTGGACAAAAATAGAGACGAGATTACGGTAGAAAGAGAAAGGGGACACGTTTTAGAAAGGAGGCTAAAATAAAGGAACAGTAAACACTAAATTGTAAATAGTAAATAGTAAATAGTAAGTAGGAAGCAGAAATTTGCGGATATAGATAGAAACCCAATTGACCATGGAAATCCAATTGGCCATGGAAAAAGCCAAAAAATTTACCTAAATTTGAAACATGACTTTTTTCATTCACCCATTTCTCGGTTTTTCTTTTCCCTTTGATCTTCAACGGAGGAAAAAAGTTTAGCAATTGAATGAACAGGAATTGGAATTTGAATTCCAATTCAAAAATTGGAATTTGGAATCAAAAAATCAAAAAAATCAATCAATCAAAGCACAAAATGTGATTTTTTTTTAAAACGTTTCAAACATGAGCGGCTTTTTATATAGTAAAATAAAGTAAATCAGGATTTTTGTTTTTAAATTTGCAATTTTGAGCTTAAAATATAGTATTTTAATGATATATTCTAGAAAAAGGAATACTCTAAATATAAAGAAAGTTTTAACACTAAATATCAAGAAAAAAAAGAATGTGAAATATTAACTATTCACAGGAAAAGACAAGGCGCTAAATTTGAAACTAGACTTTTGGTTTTTTGAAAGTTGTTAGGTTTGTTGTTTGTTTTGTTAACCCAGAAAGCATCAGACAAGAAAGTATATATGTTGTGTCCAATTTAGATTTCCGTCCGCTTTAGATTGAACTTATCACGGACGTCCGATTTAGATTACAGTCTATATCGGACGTCCGATTTAGATTGAACAATAATACGTCTTATATAGATGGAACAATAATATAAACATGCTTAATATATGTTCTTAAGCCTTTTCTGTAGTTTTCTGTAGTTTTCTGCATTTTTCAAAGGTCTTTTATTGATTACAGTCTATAGTTGGGTTTTCTTTTTAGAAAAAGACAGTAACAGACCTTTGAAAACTACAGAAAACTACAGAAAACGCTTAAGAACATATATTAAGCATGTTTATATTATTGTTCAATCTATATACGATTTAGATTGAATCTAAATCGGACTTCCGATATAGACTGTAATCTAAATCGGACGTCCGTGATAAGTTCAATCTAAATCGGACGGAAATCTAAATTGGACACAACATATAGATTAGATAAAATAGAGAAAAGATTACGATAAAAAAGAGAAATAGGAAACGTTTTAGGAAAACGACTGTGCTTGAGTATTTCTTACTCACCGGAATGCCCCAAATTTTCCCCCATATCACGTCGTAGGCGTACGTCAAGGCACCACAAAAGCATATATTTACTGAAATTTTATTATAGTATTGAAAATTTATTATTTTATTTGATAGTTTATTCAAAAAAAGTGTAGAAACTACTCTAACTTTAAAGCAAGAAAAAGTGTGTTTCATTTTTTCACGTATCAAATCCACTTGAAATCAGTTAATGACGGGGTATGAGCTCTATAGTCCAAAAATCTTATTGAAAACTTTATTTGATTAAGACTCGAGATCCCTCGAGCCCAGTTTACCCAAATTATCTAAATATTTAGATATTAGTTAGTGTATCTAATACTTACACCAGAAATAGATGACAATAATGGTGAGTGGCAAGGAGATCTCTTCTTTTGGATTTGTCTCAATGCCGCGGGATTTTCTGGAAATCTTAGGTTATATCATTTGTTATTAGAAGTCATAGGTTTCAATATCTTCAATATATTGTGGAAAGTTAATCAAATACAAACAGATTCGGTTCCTATTCAGTTCCTATTCGATTCCTGTTCAGTTCCTATTCAGTTCCTATTCGATTCCTGTTCAGTTCCTATTCGGTTCCTATTCGATTCCTATTCAGTTCCGATTCGGTTCCTATTCGATTCCTATTCAGTTCCTATTCAGTTCCTATTCAGTTCCGATTCGGTTCCTATTCAGTTCCGATTCCTTGGTGGTAAAATAGTTATTGAAGACTCTATATTGAAGACTATAAACTATCCTTGACCCCGAAAAAATTGAAATTGAAACTTGCAAAAGCCTTACAATTAGACTAGACAAATTCAATATCTTACAAAGAAATTAAAGGTTCTTAGATGAAATTTGAAGAAACAATTATTCATCGATTTGATTCACATTCATAAACCATACGTTACTCGAAAAACTTTGAAACATTATTAGTAGCCCTGCATTTTTTCTAGATTAACTTGCTGAATTCTATTCAAAAAGGAAAACTGGAGTTGTTAATGTATAATAGAAAGGCTTAGCTCATTCTAAATCTATAAACCATTTCAAAAAGCCGAAAATTTACAGCCTTTCATTTGGAACTTCTTTTACAGCCTTTCATTTTTCTAGATAATTTGCCTAATTCCAACATATACCGTATTTTCTCTAATAATAGTGCACCCCAGCGAGCCGAGTTGATGCCTATTTTACGGTTTCTAAGTTTTCACAGAAGCTCAACACTTTAATCCCCCACAAGATCTCATCGTCAGCTACATTTTCCGACCTCACATCGATAAGTTCTGATAAGCGGTTCTCGAGATTTCGAGCAATTTAGGCGAAGCTTTGGATGCACTACTATTAGAGGGAATACGGTCAAGGAATAACGTCAAGGATAACGTCAAGGAAAAGTCAAGGAATAACGTCAAGAATCACTAGAGCTTCATGATCAAGGTCCATCTACAGAGAATTTAAACGTTTCGTGATTATTGGACTCTCTCTAAACTCTCAAAACGTCATCAAAGCCAATTGAATATTATTAAAAAGAAATTTTATTTCATTTACCTGAAACGAATCAAGAATTTCGCGTAAACTCTTGTCATGCATACCAGCCACCATTGACCAAGATCTCGGCAAAGAACACAGAGAAAGGGTAAAGAAATAAAACCATAAAGAATCGAGAAGATTCGCCCACGAGTCGAATAAACGATTTGAGTGCCTGGAATTGGAATCGCTTTTAGATTTGATGCAGATTTTTTTCATTGACAAGACAAGACAAATTCGTGACAGACTACTCGGTTTTCTCATCTTATCACTTAACCATATTCACTTTAAAACGCAAAACATTATGCACGGAAGCTATTTGTGCGCTTTTCTTAATCTACTGGACACTCCAGTTTGGAAAATTTGTTAAAATTTCGATTCTCTTTCCAAATCTTCAATTTTCCATCTTCAATTTTCTACATTAAAGTAATATTTTTTTGTAAAAGATCTCCACAATGGTGGATCTGCGTTCTTTTGATCTCGCTAGTAGGAAAAAGCATCATTGGCACACCGATCGATCAGACCTGCGTATTAAAATTAAAACAAAATTCATTTCCAATAGAAAACGTATCAATTTTCTTTACGGATTAGTGTTTATAGCCTTAAATAGCGTATTTTCTCTAATATGTGGTTTATGTGGAGGAAAGTGCTCAAATCGCTTCATCGAGTGTTCATCCTTCTTGGTTTCTCAACTTCTTGAAGTCAACCAACCAGACAACTCAACTCAACCTCAACCTCAACCTCAACTCAACCTCAACTCAAACTCAACCTCAACCTCAACCTCAACCTCAACTCAACCTCAACTCAACCTCAACTCAACCTCAACTCAACCTCAACCTCAGCTCAAGCTCAACTAGAAACCTACAAAACCGAAGCTTTTCTAAATCTTGCAAAAGCCTGTTTTAGAAAAAAGTGGCCTTTTTACTGGTAAAAACTTTAGATCAATTGGTGCACTAGTTATTTCTAAAAAGTGCAATGAATGTACAAACAATGTACAAACTTTCAAATTGCCAATCTTTTAGGTTGGTGAATTGAAAGCTGCGGGACTTTGAACTAGAATTTATTCAACATAAAACCATCAATTCATTCCATATAATTTCCATTATTATTGACGACTTCTGCCCATTTTACAGGCAATTTGCGGATTCCTCTTTCGTAGTTTTGGTTTGTGTGTGAGACAAGTGTGAGACTCAAAAATCGAGGACTGGAGATGTCCCAGCTTGTCCAGTTTGAGCACTTTCTTCAAAAGAAATCTATTTTGGTGTCAATAGAAAAGTTGTAGAGAATCAAAAATTAGGATTATAGCCAAATTTCCAAAAAGATACACTTAGTAGTTTCGCTTAAAATGCAAGTTTTGTGAAAATTCGTAAATTTGGGCATTTCTTGAGAACCAGTTTTTGAATCGTTCTGAAAATTTGGATATAAGCTTGATTTTTGATTCTCTACAGTTTTCCATTGACGCCAAAATGGGTTTCTTTTGAAGAAAGTCCTCAAACTGTCCCGTATGACAATAGCCGGCAGTTTTCAATTCACCAACCCAATAAGAATCAATTAAGTGAATCTTCAAAAGTGAATAATATCTTCTATTATGTTTGGTAAAGCTAAAAACTCCTTGAAGTTGCGTAACTTGTAACATCAAAGTTATTTTGCGGCAAAACCCAGAAAATTCGTACAAATTCAAGCGATCTTCCTAGAATGTGATTTCGAATTTTGCAGTAAACCTACCGTATCCGGTGGTCATGTAGATATTTGACGCGTAGAAGACAGACGGCCAATATTGCCACATCAGATTGTCTTCGGTGTCATTTTTGTAGTAAACTGACGCCTTGTAAATGCCCTCCGTTTTTTGCAGGTCCACGTAGAGACGCTGGAAAATTTGAGCACTCATTTAAAGTGAAATTGAAAGTGAAAGCGCTCATTCATTTAGTGAAAAGGATTGGAAACTGGGATTATATCTGAATGCTGAAATATATGCTGAAACCCGGTTAACAGCGGGTTTTTCTGCGTTGGTCCCTTTGTCGAGAGCGCAGTCGGAAGCACGCTTGTCTACGGCCCACACGGTCCGGGTTCGAACCCCCGGAGTGCGACTCAAGTTTGAATTCTTTATTTTTAATTTTAAATGACAAATTACAATATATTCTAAGGTTTTCTGAAGAATTTTTAGCTTTATTGGTCAAAAGACGGACGAGAAAACGGTCGTACAAACGGACAGACAGACAAACACTGCTCTTTTATATATACTAGATATTGATATACCGTATCCCAAAACCCCCGACCAACTTTGACTTCTTCAGCCCCATTTGAGGTATTAGTTTAATATATCAAAAGATAGCCCTTAATGTCTTCTATCTTTTGATATATTAAACATAAAAATATCTCCAAATGGAGCTGAGAACGAAGCGTCCAAAGTTGGTCAAGGGGGGCGGGGCGTTTATTAGAGGAAATACGGTACCTAAAATTTGTAAGCTATCCAAAAACTAATCAAATTCAAAAGTCTAAGTCAAAAGTCTTCAACGAGTAAAGTCTTACTGTAGTTTTTTTAAATAGAAATCACAGGGAAATTTTACGGAAAAGTTGTAAGCTTCAGTTGTAAGCTTCAGTTGTAAGCTTCAGTTGTAAGCTTCAGTTGTAAGCTTCAGTTGTAAGCTTCAGTTGTAAGCTTCAGTTGTAAGCTTCAGTTGTAAGCTTCAGTTGTAAGCTTCAGTTGTAAGCTTCAGTTGTAAGCTTCAGTTGTAAGCTTCAGTTGTAAGCTTCAGTTGTAAGCTTCAGTTGTAAGCTTCAGTTGTAAGCAACAAATTCAGCTGTAGGGAGCTTTTTATTAAAGCCAAGCTTTTCATTTGAAAATTGAGAATTTTGAAACATCAATTTTTCAACAATTTTCAGAATTTATTTTCCTAATTGAAAAATACTCAAAACTGTTATTTTCATAAATATTTATACCTTGAAACCCTAATTTTTTTTATAAGAAAACACTCTAAGGCATTGATTACCAAACCACGTCCACTGCTTTGCTAAAAACCAAACCACGCGACTGCTTTGCTAAAAATTTGCTTTAAATTCCCACCCTTAAATGGAAATTGGGGTGAAATGCAAATTATGGCAGCCGGCTGTAAATTTCCAAGGCGATTAACTCGATGGGAAATTTTTTTACAAACGGACTTTAGATTCGGAAGCAGCGATTTTTTTTACCGTAAAATGGGAGTTTTCAGCTCTTTATCTCCATTCCCCTTAATAAAAGCCACAAACAGACAGTCGGCAACCACATTAAATCCCGACTTTTCCCTGTGAGCTAAAGAATTTTGAAACTCGAATTTTTCAAACTCAAATGAGAACTTTGAAAAAGCTTTGTTTTGATTAGAAATTCTCAATAGAAACTTGAGTAGAAACTAAAAATTTGTTCTATTGTTCTATCTGTAGATGATCTTGATCTTGAAGCTCTAGTGGATTCTTGACGTTATCTGTGTTACCCATGTCTGTAGATGAGCTTGATCTTGAAGCCATAGTGGATTCTTGACGTTATCTGTGTTACCTATGTCTGTAGATGAGCTTGATCTTGAAGCCATAGTGGATTCTTGACGTTATCTGTGTTACCTATGTCTGTAGATGAGCTTGATCTTAAAGCTCTAGTGGATCCTTGACGTTATCTGTGCTACCCACATTTTACATATATTATATCGTGTTTCTTTTTATCGGCCCTTTTCGTGTTATGTGTATGAATTCATGTGTTTTAATCTTAAATCTAGCGCACTTTATCTCAGGTCCTGAATAAAGTATCTATATATATATTTTTTTTTTTTTTTTTTTTTTTTTTTTTTTTTTTTTTTTTTTTTTTTTTTTTTTTTTTTTTTTTTTTTTTTTTTTTTTTTTTTTTTTTTTTTTTTTTTTTTTTTTTTTTTTATATTTTTTTTTTTATTTTTTTTTTTTTTTTTTTTTTTTTTTTTTTTTTTTTTTTTTTTTTTTTTTTTTTTTTTTTTTTTTTTTTTTTTTTTTTTTTTTTTTTTTTTTTATTTATTTTTATTTTTTTTTTTTAAAAAAAAATTTTTTTAAAAAAAAAAAAAAAAAAAAAAAAATTTTAAAAATTTTTTTATTATTTCTTTTTTTTTTTTTTTAAATATTTTAATTTTTTTTTTTAAAAAAAAAACAAAAAAAAATATATATTGCAAAATGTTTCCAAATTAAACAATTATTCATAAATTTTAAACAATTTTAAACAATTTTATTAAAGGAGACATCGGGAGTGGGACAAATGCGACCTTTTTTTTGCGCACCCGGACATTTGCGCACCTTTTTTTTGCTGGAAAAGGCCTTAGGAAAGGTCGTAGAGCTTCGTATTTTTCAATTTTTATAAGTTTTAATCATTTTTAAAGCATCTATTGCAAGTTTAAAGTGCTTAAAAAGAGCCAATAGAAATCTATGTTTCAAAAATACTCAAAATGTAGGGAATGGGACAAATGCGACCTTCTTTTTGCGCACCCGGACATTTGGGCACCTTTTTTTCCGCGCCTTGTCCATTAGCGCACCTTTTTCGCGTTTTAAAAAAGCTCTAAGCTAAATAAGCTAATATTAACTAATTTCTATTCCAAAAGTTGTTTTTTCTAGGTAATTTTAGGGCGTAGAATCGAAATTTTGACATATCAGAGCTTGTGGAAGCGAACGGACGGAGTTATACAAAGAGAAAAATCGACATTTGAAGAACCGACAATTTTCTGTAATTTGATCTAACCGTTTTGTCTTTCAAATTGGTTCCACACGCTCTGTTATGTCAAAATTTGAATTCTACACCCTAAAATTCCCTAGAAAAACAACATTTGGAATAGAAATTGGTTAATATTAGCTTTTTAAAGCTTTTTTGCTTTAAAGTGCTAATGGGCAAGGTGCGGAAAAAAGGTGCGCAAATGTCCGGGTGCGCAAAAAAAAGGTCGCATTTATCCCACTCCCGAGACATCATTGATCACTATTGAAGCCGGGATTTTCATTTGGTGCTTGAGAATTTTGAATTTCGAGGTTGAATAGGAAAAGAAAAGATAAAAGAAAGAAAGGAAAAGAAAAACATATAAAAGAAAAACAAGTTTCCGTTGAAAAAAACTGATTGAAACTGGCTAAATAAACTAGTTAAATAAACTGGTTAAATAAACTGGTTAAATATTGGTTAAAAAAAGCTAAGAAATGTTGTCGACGAGGCGGTCGAATTTGGGCCAAAAATTTTATAACCGAGAGCACTACTAGAGCAAAAAGACCTCTCTTCGAGGCAAGTAAGGAAGTCTTATCGAGGGATTAAAGAGACTTTAAAGCCAAATCCTATAAAGAGACTTTAAAGCCAAATTCCTTGTGCTTCCAAACCATTTAGGAAAAACTAAAAGCGGATTCGGAAAGCCGGTGAAAAACTGAATAATATAGAAAATTCTCTTTTTGAAATCTCTTCTTAACTTGGCTTCTTCACTTCTTTCTAGTTAGTATTTAAGCGCTTTGAAACACATTTTTTTCAAAACCCAATCAAAACCTTGATATTGCTTTGATTAGAAATTGTTGATAGAAAATGTAAAAATTCAAAGAATTATTGATTTTTACCTTAATAAAATCTTGTAAATCCTGGGTGCCGTTCATTGAGGCGTTCATTGAGGCGTTGTTCCTCGCCGCTTGCACGTATTCAGCGATTTTCGCCTCAATAGCCGCATTTGTGTTGGCGACATTCTAAAAATGGAAATCTTTCGTGAAAGACCGTATTTCTTCGAATAGAAGACCGGGTAAAGAGTATCGTCGCGTACCCCTGCGTAGCAGCCCTTTTTAAAATTTCTTTTCTGCATAAAAGCTTTCAATGAAGTGCTATAGAGCTGGAAAATGACTCAAAAATACCACATGAGCTGACAGATTTTTGAGCCATTTTGCAGCTCTATAGCACTTGATTGAAAGCTTTTATGCAGAAAAGAAATTTTAAAAAGGGCTGCTACGCAGGGGTACGCGATGATACTCTTTACCCGGTTTTCTATTCGAAGAAATACGGTAATCAGAGTTTTAGAGTTCAGAGATCAACTGATAACTACAAAAAGATAATTTTAAAACATTTAAACATAACATTTACATATTTAAAAATCGACAACGACAAGCCTCAAACATTAATCAATCATTTTTCGACCTTTATTCGATCTTTTTTGAAACCTGCTTTTTCAAAACGAAAATTCTCGTTTTTTTTTCGCTAAAATAGCATTTTTTAGTAATTAGATTGTATTCTTTTTAAGCTTTTCTATTTCCAAACTCTCACATCAATCTCTGCATCGTGTTCGATGTGATAGAAAATGACACCGCCAAGAAGTGAGGCGCCGATGAGAAGACCGGCGATTATGAAATGCTGAAATGGTTATGAAATGAAAGGGAAATTGAGATTTCGATCTTTTTTTAAACTTTTTTCAAAATGATTAAAATGAATTACAAAGATCTCAGATTTCAAAGCAATTTCAAAGCAATTCACGAGCATAAATTTCACGAGTACGAGAGAGTTTCTTGCAGTATTATCGCATTATTATTATCATATTATCATATATCGCATTCACCTTTATTCCAAGAGTTCTCCAAAAGAAGAGCAGACCGTATTTCCGGGCGCCGGGTGGTGGATTGAAAATGCTAAAAGGAAAATTGAGAAAAACTAAAATTTCGATTTTTATTAAAGGTTTACAATGCTAAAAGAAGTTTTTGAAATTTTAGAAGGTTCCGATATGGTTCCAATTTGGTTCCAATTTGGTTCCAATATGGTTCTTCCAATATGGTTCCAATATGGTTCCAATATGGTTCTAATATGGTTCCAATATGGTTCCAATTTGGTCCCAATATGGTTCCAATATGGTTCGGGTACGGTTCCAATATGGTTCCGATATGGTTCCAATATGGTTCTTCCAATATGGTTCCAATATGGTTCTTCCAATATGGTTCTAATATGGTTCCAAAATGGTTCCAATTTGGTCCCAATATGGTTCCAATATGGTTCCAATATGGTTCCAATATGGTCCCAATATGGTTCCAATTTGGTCCCAATATGGTTCCAATATGGTTCCAATATGGTTCGGATACGGTTCCAATATGGTTCCGATATGGTTCCAATATGGTTCCAATATCGTCCCAATATCGTCCCAATTTGGTTCCAATTTGGTCCCAATATGGTTCCGATATGGTTCCAATATGGTTCTAATATGGTTCCAATATGGTTCCAATATGGTCCCAATTTGGTTTATAATAAAATCTTTTCAAGGTTAGGAAATCCGAATCATTCTTTAATTTCAATTATGAACTTTTCAATATTTCAATTTCAAGTAGGAAAAAAGTTTCTTTGATGTCGAAGCTTGGGACTCCTTAAAATGCGTAAAACGCAGACTCCTATTTCGAGTATTTCGGGTTAATTTAGCCAAAACTTAATACCGGATTCGGATTCCCCGACCCCGAAACCCCCGTATGAAAAATCTTCGGCTCTTCTAATTTTTTAATGTTTCAATTTACTCAGCCCGATTGAGTCTTATGGAAAGCCAATAGAAATTCAGAATCTAAAACAGCAGAAAGCAAGTTGGCAATAAAATTGTCATTCTCTTTGTGTTTACTCGTGAATTGTCATAAGAGAGATGACAGATTTAGCTTTCTACTTTGCTCATGAATTGTCATACAAGAGATGGAAGATTTAGCTTTCCAGTGTCCTTAAGAGAATTTATGAGCTTTGGTCCACTTTCGATACAATTTTACCCCATTCATCAAGTTACTACGATACTACGATAGCTTTTTTTGCACGCGCATCTTTTAGAAAATCTGATTTGAGGGAAAAAAAATACTCTAATCCAGATATTTACTATTTATCAACTATACAAATTTATCAACTTCTAACTAATTTTCAACATATTCTAGCTAAGGTGCTGAGTGAAAAAGTGAATTCTTCATAGGTAAAGATGGAAAATTTCGGTCTAACTAGAGTTATTTAGTTAAAAACACATCTTTTATTGCATAAAACCGAGCATGAAAGCCCTTTTGAAAGTGTTCCTTTCAAAATTGACTTTTGAATGATTTTTGAATGATTTTTGGACATTTTTGGACTCAAGAATAAATTGAAAACTCAATTTCTAATTGATAATCTGAATCTTAAACGAAATTTGGTGAATTTCTTTTCCAAAAACCCACTCTGATGGCAGTGCATGATGAAAGGTTTTTCCAGTGGATTTACTCCGCCATTCCAATTCGGGCATCACGATTTTTGATTTGAAAATTAAGGCTTAAATTAGTTTTGAAAAGTTGCTCTAAGATTTTGACAGAAAAAAGAGAAAATTGTTAAAACTTTTGACAAAATAAGAAAAATTTTGGTACTATGCGTTTATATTTGTTGAAAAAATAGCTACAGTATCTTGATAGCTAATAGCTACAGTATCTTGACAGCTAATAGCCACAGTATCGCTCCTCCTCTTCCGCCAAAAGTACTTCTTTAATACGAGTAGGCATCGATGCAATTAATTCATCAAGAATTCCAGGTCCAATCGTCCTCCAATGTCCAATCGTCGTTGCATTTTAAAAATCAAACCAAAAAAACGCATGCACGAGTCCGGTTAGATTCCAGTAAAATACCCAAAAACCCAAAATAATTTACCATTTCGACTTTTTGACGAAATTTGACGATTGGATGGCGAAAAAGTTGCAGAAAATACTAAGATTTCGTCAAAAACAATGATAAATGCTAATTTCAATATGGAGGGAGACTTAAGACCAGAAGTCGCCAGAAGAAGACGAGCGGCCTGGACAGCACTAGGAAGCATCAAAGAAGTCACAAAGATACTCAAGAATCACCAGAGAACTCGGGCACACCTCTTCGACAGTACCGTCCTCCCGGCACTCTGCTACGGGACAGAGACCTGGGCCACGGCACAGACCACTGAACGAGCCCTGAGAACGACGCATCGAGCCCTTGAAAGGAACCTCCTCGGGTACAATAGGAGGAAGCAGCTCGACCAAGACCTAGGAAGTACGGATATGCGCCAGCTCTCGGGACTCAGAGATTCAGTGGAAGTGATTGAGAGAAAAAGACTCAGATGGGCCGGGCAGAAGAACAGACGACAGATGGACGATACGGATCACAGAGTGGCTACCACGAGACCAGAAGAGGCCCATCGGAAGACCAGCAAAAAGGTGGAGCACAAGAGTGGCAGCGACGGTCAGAGAAATGATGCCACCACCAGCACAAGCAAGTTGAAGACTTCGAACCAGGAACAATCAAGCTAGGAAACACTGGATGACAATAGCAAGGGATAGAGAAATGTGGAAGTTGTGATCTGCGCAAATAGGAACACCGAAATGCGAAGACAGATTTAAAAAAATGCTAATTTTCGGGAATATAAACGGATTGAACCAAAATTTTTCAACAAATTCCTTAAAAATCTTGAAACACAAGCTTTAAAAACAGAAAAAATGACCAAAAAACGACAAAAAAATGATTTTGTAAACATTTTAACCTAATAAAATCATCGAAACTGTTCAAATATGTCAAAATTTGAAACTCATAATTTCAAAAACTTGAAAAGTTAATGCAAAAGGAAAAAAAGAGAAACTTTTGATTGAATTGAATTGAATGTTGATGGCCAATTGAATTGAATTGAATTGTCGATGGTCAACTCGACAATTTGACAACTGTTTGACTCAAGTAGCTCGTTTTTGGAGAAAACAAATATTTGCCCAAACACTTTTTCTTCTTGTGAATTAAAAATATCAAGTGAGCCGTGTGATTTTTATGATTTTGGATATGAGTTCGGCTCAGGAACCATTGGTCTTAAAGGGTTTTAATGGTTGATAAGGGTTTTAATGGTTAAAACAACCATTAAAACCCTTTAAGACCATCTCTACTCTATTAAAACTCATTAAAATCTCTCTACCATTTAAGTCAACCAGACCTTTAAACCCTGCTTTTTCATTGATTCAATTTTCGATTTTCAAGAAAGTATGGGTAATTTATCTCTTAGAAATCTGAAGACATGAATAAAAAGTGTTGTATTCAAGTGTTGAATAAAAAACGTTTTGCTAATTGTTTAAAACTCAAAACGGAAGACAAGAGATGCATTAATAAGGTTAAAAGATCATTATTATGGTTATAAGATAATTATTAAGGTTAAAAGATCATTATTAAGGTTATAAGATAATTATTAAGGTTATAAGATAATTATTATGGTTATAAGATCATTATTATGGTTATAAGATCATTATTAAGGTTATAAGATCATTATTAAGGTTATAAGATAATTATTAAGGTTATAAGATCATTATTATGGTTATAAGATCATTATTAAGGTTAAAAGATAATTATTAAGGTTATAAGATAATTATTAAGGTTATAAGATAATTATTATGGTTAAAAGATCATTATTAAGGTTATAAGATCATTATTAAGGTTAAAAGACCATTATTATGATTAAAAGATAAAAGATAAGGTTAAAAGATAATTCAAGCGACAGCCTAATAGCTCTAACTTGAAACTGATAATGAAACGATGAAAAGATGAACAAAATTGAGTTGAAGACTGATTTCAAGTGCCACAGTTGTAGATCAATTTTGAAATTCCACATTACGTTGAAGATTAACTTTGAAATCGATAAATGCACTGATATTAGCAGCCAGTCTAGGCATTTGTTCATGTTCTAGAAAAGATTGGCTCTAGTTACGATTGTATTTTATTGATTGTATTGCTACGATTGCATTAAACTTTCCAGAAAGTCTTTTCGTACAAAAAAAGAAAGAAAAAACTTTCTGGAACGTCTAATATTTTAGATCATGAACTCAAGATTCATAGAAACACGTAAAGGACAAATTTGACAAAGTTGATTTGGGAATTAGACTTACTACAGACTGAACTGAACTGTAGATCGAACTGAACTGTAGACTGAACTGAACTGTAGACTGAACTGAACTGTAGACTGAACTGAACTGTAGACTGAACTGAACTGTAGACTGAACTGAACTGTAGACTGAACTGAACTGTAGACTGAACTGAACTGTAGACTGAACTGAACTGTGGACTGAACTGCGAACTGAGCTGACTGACTGTGACTGAACTGAACTGTAGACTGAACTGAACTGTAGACTGAACTGAACTGTAGACTGAACTGAACTGTAGACTGAACTGAATTGTAGACTGTACTGAATTGTAGACTCAACTGAACTGTTTACCAAGAATAGAATAAAGTTAAGAAAGCAGGAATATGTAGAACATAACAGACATAACAGACGCTAACAATAAGCTTTTGTAGAAGTACGGTACTTGTTTGAAAGTACGAAGTACGATGTAAGTACGAAATTTCCGTCCTCTCTAACTATTTCATCAGCAGCTTCAATGACTATAGCATAACCGTATTGCAACGCTAACTTATTCTTCTAAGTGTGAAAAGCTTTAGAATGTTTACAGGCGTCTCTTTATCCCAAATTTCAGCGATAAATGCTAATCTTACAACAACAAAAAAATGCTAAATGGCTTGTAAAACTAGGCACAAGAACAAGCAGACTTTATTATTTATAAAGTCTAAACTGGATCATATCGAGCCAATGGATCATATCGAGCCAATGGATCATATCGAGCCAATGGATCATATCAAGCCAATGGATCATATCGAGCCACTGGATCAGATCGAGCCACTGGATCAGATCGAGCCACTGGATCAGATCGAGCCACTGGATCAGATCGAGCCACTGGATCAGATCGAGCCACTGGATCAGATCGAGCCACTGGATCAGATCGAGCCACTGGATCAGATCGAGCCACTGGATCAGATCGAGCCACTGGATCAGATCGAGCCACTGGATCAGATCGAGCCACTGGATCAGGTCGAGCCACTGGATCTAAACTGGATCCAAAATTGAATTGAAGACTGATTTCAAGTACCAACGTTGCAGATCAATTTTGAAATTCGATCGTCTGATCTAGATACTAAAAACGATCATGAGCCAAGTGATTTTTGATTTCAAAACGGGAAAATGAACAAGCAAATTGATCAAAAAATTCAAAATTGATCTCGTCATCGTTTGGATTTGCGTCTTTTTTCCATGTCTTTTCCCAGAAAAAGAAAAAAAGACTTGAGAAAACAGAAAAATCGGTTGAATAGCGGGGAAAACATGAGCCTATTCATCGCTCCCATCACACAAATATGGGCAAAATTGCGTGAGTTGTGTGACTGCACAAAAAGACGGAAACACATGAAAATCTCAAAAGCAAAGTGTTGACATGACCGCTCGAACGGTGACCGATTTAAGGGAAATGGGAAAATGGTTCGGTGTTCTCAGATTCTCTGATTAGAAAGATTTTCTGATTAGAAAGATTCTCTGATTAGAAAGCATCTTCAATCAGTTAGAAATAGAGTGTTTTCCTCTTGATTGATTCGTTTTCTAAAAGACACAGCCTATTCGCTGGGCTGGTTTAGATAAACTAGTACTAGTTCAGATAAACTAGTGCTAGTTATCTGAAGATAACTAGTGCCAGTTTAGATTTACTAGCACAATGGATTAGCGCAGAGCTGCAAGTTTACGGTTTATAAGTGATATAAAGCTACAGTATGAAAAACTACAATAATACCATTATTTTAAAGTCTCTTGAAATGATATCCACGTGATAAACCGGTTGGTATATAACGGGAATTGGACGTGGAGCCGGTGAAGCGTATGAACACAGCAAGTTACCTGAAAGTTTGAATCATATTAAGTTTAAGATATTCAATTGATAAAATGCCGATCTGTAGACAAAATTTCAGAGCAGTCGGTCAAGAATTGATGACAGATTGATCTTTTAGGCTTAAATCTCCTCAAAGAATCGGATGAAGATGCTTGGAAGAGGTTGGAAAAGAAGAAACATTTCGTCTTTCCAGTTTAGATGTTCTGATGACTAAAATTGTGCGCTGCTGACCTGTGTGCAAGAATTATTTCGTCCGCTATCGCTCTTTGTGCTCAAACTTTAACTACGTTGACTGTCAACAGCTCTCCCGGATTCACAATGTCAAAGCGAACAAATCAAGGTGTTTTAGTTTTTTTTGTTGTTGTTGATTTTAACCAACAACAAAAATTGTGATTGCTTATTTGCCAAAGATGCCGTTAAAATTGAAACTTTTATTTTTAAAACAAAAAAAAAATCAATTTGAATGAGCATGAAGGTAAATCAAATGGAAATAAACAAAAAAAAATTGCAGAAATTATGAAAATTGTGGAAATTATGAAAATTATGGGAAAAATAGATTAAAAATGAATTGAAAAAGGGTACTGAGTTCACGATATGGGCACACAAAAAAAAAGAGTAAATCAAAGGAAAAGAAAAGAAAAGAAAGGAAAAAAAGAGAAATTCTTGCTTTAATCTCATTTCATCTAGAATTTCTCGATAGTACGGAAACGGAAAACGAAATTAGACCTATTTAGTCTCAAATTTCAAAAATCTCGTTTTCCGTTTCTTTACTAACGATAAACTTGAGAAAACTTTCGAAATCGGCTTTTTTTTCGAATCAAATCAAAATTTGAACAAATTTTCTTCAATTCTTAAAACCTTATGAGATTGAAACAATTTTCAACAAAAATTACCGTAAATACTGTAATAATACCCCACCCTCCTCGTACAGTCGCGTAGTCGCAAAAGTTTTTTAGTATTTAATTTTTTTCAAAGCGCCCGTACTTTCAAAAATGCGTCTTTGGTATCAAAAAATAGCTGAATTTCAGGGCTATTTTTTGAAACCTAAACGAACATTGTAGCATAAATCAGTGCCGAGAAGAACTCGTTTAAAGCTAGACTCCGAAACACTCCGCACCGTCATTAAGGGGGTGGGGTACTATTTCAGTATTTACGGTATAAGTACTTTGATCCATCAAGTGAAGAGTTTTAAATTTAAAAGCGATCACTTTGAAATAGGCTATTTCTAAGGAGCTGAGTGTGCTTGAATACCTAAGCGCGCACTGTAGCATAAATCAGTGCCGAGAAAAACTCGTTCAAAGCTAGACTACGAAACACTCCGCATCGTCATTATGGGGGTGGGGTACTATTACAGTATTTACGGTATGTTAATTTATTGGAAAACATGTAAAACCGGCACCGAACACTGGAAAAAAAAGAGAAAAATGGAATATTTTTAAACTTTAAAAAAAACAACAAATTACTGAAACTGGTCAAGTTTTATATGAAAAATATTGAAACACAGCTTTTTTTTGAAAAAATCAAATCAAAATTTGAACAAATTTCCTTCAATTATTCAGTTTTATTATCGTTTTTTGAAAATTTACCATAAATTCTTTATATTTTTGTTGAGTTAAGCTTATTTTCGATAACAATTTTGAGTTTGTTTTTCGATAAATGAACTTATGCAACGTTTTTCCATAAATGAACTTAAACACTTTGAAACAGTGCTTAAATTCTCTTTTTTTTCGATTAAAGAATAGAAAAGTTTGATTTTTTTGGAACATTTCATTCAATTTAGCTTTAATTTTGAATTAATTTCTTCAAAAAAAAGCAAACAGTTTCTTTTTTTTAAAGAATAAAATGCAAATCTGAAAACAAAACGAAAATCGATGAGTGTCAAGGCAGTCGAGAGAACAAATTGAATGAAATTGAATGAAATTGAATGAAATTGAATGAAATTGAATGAAATTGAATGAAATTGAATGAAATTGAATGAAATTGAATGAAATTTAATGAAATTCAATGAAATTCAATGAAATTCAATCAAATTCAATCAAATTCAATGAAATTCAATGAAATCCAATGAAATCCAATGAAATTCAATGAAATTAAATGAAATTCAATGAAATTCAATCAAATTCAATCAAATTCAATCAAATTCAATCAAATTGAATGAAATTGAATGAAATTGAATGAAATCCAATGAAATTCAATCAAATCCAATCAAATTTAATGAAATTCAATGAAATTGAATGAAATTGAATGAAATTGAATGAAATCGAATGAAATTCAATGAAATTCAATGAAATTCAATGAAATTGAATGAAATGCAGTCAAATTCAATCAGATTCAATGAAATTCAATGAAATTCCATTAAATTCAATCAAATTCAATCAAATTCAATGAAAAAAGTCGAATTTTTGAGAGAAATAGGAGAAATCTTAGTTTTTTTTAGCTTTTTTAGCTTTAGATTTAGCTGAAAAATTCTATTTAAAGTCGAAAAATTGAGAAAAATCGGAAAAAAACTTATTGAAAAATGGATGTTTCAAAGTTGAATTAGTAAAATTGTTGGGATTTTTTTAATAACAAACATTAAATTTCGCGAAAACGGTTATCAAAAAAAGCCATTATTCAAAAAAATTGAAATAAAAATCCATTAAACAAATAAAGATTGAGTTTTCAAAAGTACTTTGTGCTTAAATCTGTAAACACACACTTTCTAGTGCACTTAATCATTTCATTTTTCTTTACAGAAATCGTTTGGTGTGGGGAAAATGACGAAAAATGAAGAAAAATCCTTCATTTCTCAATTCTTCATTTCCCATGATATCAAAAACGTTTCTGCAAGCAAAAGATGAAGAAGATCAGTGCACTAGAAAGGGTGTGTTTAAGGCGGAGAAAGGGTGGAGCGCAAAGTACACGTTTAAGAAATAGGATTAAGCACTGGTTTCCCTGTAGGGCATTGGTGAGGGTCGATAGGGGAGATTTCTTTGATAGGCTCCTGGCGGAAGCTTTTCGATAAGTGGATCATCTCGCGGAATTGCTCGGAAATGCAAATCGTGACTGAAGAGAGAAATTTTGAAATTATTAAACTTTAGAACTTTTGCTTTTGCACCAATGAGTTTCGTGCTATTAAATTGAACGCTTTCGGGTATTTGAATGCGAAATTCTGCGTCGAATAACCCGTGGCAGATGTCATTTGGCCTAGTTGACATTCCGTTGTAAGCTGAGTGTTGCTTCGTTTGCGCAAATCTTTCCTCAGCCTTTTTTCACTGTTAATAGTTTCATTGTTTTTGATTGATTGATTGATAATTGATAATTGCTTAAAGCAGTGTTGAGAATCGAGCTAGATCTATCAGCTAGATCTATCAGCTAGATCTATCAGCTAGCTCTATCAGCTAGATCTAGCAGTCAACTCAGCAATGGGTTGATCAATTCAGCTTACAACGGAATGTCAACTAGGCCAAATGACATCTGCCACGGGTTATTCGACGCAGAATTCAACGCCGATTTCGAATCTGTTTTCCGTTTTTGTTATAAAGCACTTTGTCAAAAGTTACAAGGATGCGAAGTTTGAATGGGATTTGAAAAATCACCTCGAGTTTATAAGCAGATTTCCCAGAGACGTTAACAAGCAATGTTGGCCAAGTGGCAGTGCGTTAGAATACAAGGCACTGACCCTCTAGTTTGAATCCGCTCATCGATTTCTATCCTTTGCTTTTTGGGTTTGCAAAGTTGATTGTTCTACAAGTTTATTTTAGAATATTTCTCATAAAAATCTTTTCTTGTAACTATTAACGTTAAGCAGCTATTATTAAACTCCAAAAAAACAAGATTTCGACATTAATGACAATGGGAAATCTGCTTCTAAACTTGTGATTTTTTGAATCCCATACAAACTTCGCAAGCTTCTAACTTTTGACAAAGTGCTCTATAACAAAAACGAAAAACAGATTCGAAATCAGTGTTGAATTCTGCGTCGAATAACTTGTGGTATATGGCCACCACGTTCAGTTGGCATTCCTTAGTTTCATTACATAACTTAGCCTATCAAAATTATAGCAAAAACAAGGAAAAGCATAATCTGAACAAGCTGCCAAGCAGCACTACCCAAAAATACCAAATTGGTGGTTTTAATTACAGCCTAAGCCTAAGCCTGAGTCTAAGCCTAAGCCTGAGCCTCAGCCTAAGCCTAAGCCTAAGCCTAAGCTTAAGCCTAAGTCTAAGTCTAAGCCTGAGCCTAAGCCTAAGCCTAAGCCTGAGCCTAAGCCTGAGCCTAAGCCTGAGCCTCAGCCTAAGCCTAAGCCTAAGCCTAAGCCTAAGCCTAAGCCTAAGCCTAAGCTTAAGCCTAAGTCCAAGCCTAAGCCTGAGCCTAAGCTTGAGCAGCACTACCCAAAAATACCAAAAAAAAATACTAATTAGCTTTCTAAAACTACCTTTTTTAGGTAGATTTTTAAAAGTATAACTACTAATAATAAGTTAATTTTTTATACTATCACATTTACTAACAAAACTAAAAAAAAAATAGATAACAAAACGATAGAAAAGCAACCTTTTTTTTGTGAGCATCTACGGTGTGAGACAATACCGACAAACACAAAGAATATTGAGCGAGAAAGGGTGAAGTGGACAGGGTGGGAAAGAAGGGGAAAAAAATGGGACACACAGCCATCATTAGAATGATGAGACACGACTGAAAACTATTGTTTTTTAAGCTTTTTCCCTTTTGGCTAATGCATTTTCTAAAAGGTATTCAATTTTAAACAAACTACCGCAATCTTAGCGCCATTTTTCACTCGATCAGACCTAATTTTTGGGCAATTAGTGATTAGAGAATCACAAGACTCAGTCAATGGCACCAAAATTGAGCTGATCAAATGGAAACTGAAAGGAGAATAAGGTAGTTTGTCTAAAATCGATTTCTTTTAGGAAATGGATTATTTGAGAGGGCATTTTGGGTACTTTGTGCTCAAAAATAGGGTAAAAAGACCCATTCCAGTGCACTAAATTCTTCATTTTTGCGATACGAAGCATTGTTGAAAGAAAATTAAAGCAAGAGAAAGCCAGAAAGGGTATGTTTATCTATCTTTAAGCACAAAGTATACCTCTTTTTACTTTTTTTATACATTCAAGTTTAATTTTTCTTGTTAGAAATGACTTTTGGTCAATTTTCTAATGATAAACGACTCAATAAAAGAGCTAGTTTCAAAGTTAGGGAAGTAAGTTTTCCACTTCTTCTATTAATCGATCTATTTGGTTTTTCTTTTTGCTAAAAAGTTAATATTTGCTATTATATATCTAAAATATTCTTGGTGTTATAGAATTATAAAAAAAATTGAGTTTCAAAGCTACCCTAATTCCAATAGAAGACCCCATGTCAACTCTTGGGGATTTTACGGTTCCTAAGCTTTCCCAGAAGCTCAGCACTCAAATCCCCCACTAGATCTCATCGTCAGCTACATTTCCCGACCCCACATCGATAGGTTCTGTTAAGCGGTTCTCGAGATTTCGAGGAATTTAGGCGACGCTCTGGGTGCACTACTATTAGAGGGAATACGGTATATGGATAGCACAAATAACGTCAAGAATCACGAGAGCTTCATGATCAAGATCCATCTACAGAGAATTTAAACGTTTCGTGACTATTGGACTCTCTCAAAACGATTCGAAATTCTGGCAGTTCCTATTAGAAAAGAGTTATACAGAAACCCCATGTCAACCCCTTGAAATCGGGGAGCTGATCAAAACAGATCAAAAGGCTCAAAGCCAAAGCTCAAAGCCAAAGCTCAAAACCAAAGCTCAAGCCAAAGCTCAAAGCCAAACAGCGCCATGTCAAAAATTGCCTCTTTGCGGTTAAGTTTCTACGTGTTTCTTATTCTTATTAGATGTAGAATAAAATTATCTACATTTTTTATACTTTGGGAACACTTAAAACAGAATTGTTGCCGAGAAAAGCTCAGTTAACCTCTTTTTGAGCTCTTTTTCATTTTTTTGGCATTTTCTCATCCCAGATTTGTTCTAAACGGTTCCAAAAAATACAGCAGATAGCTGATTGTTTTCTACATTCAATGAAAATAAGAAACACAAATAAACTTAACCGCAAACGCATTATTTTGGCCGACGCAACAGCCTCGGCGTTGTTTGACGGCGTTGTTTAGATCAGCTCTACGAAATCGGGACTTTTCCAAACTTTCTTTTAGCTAGATTGGGAGATTTTAGCCCAGATAGAAGTATTTTAGCCTCTGCAGTAACATAGTTTTGAAAAGAAATTAAAAGATAATTTAAAAAAAAGCCATGAGGGGACCATAGGGATTTTTTTTGAGAGAATTTTTTGGAAAGATTCCGGGTAAGAAAATAATTTCACTTTTAAACATGTTTTTGGCACGTTTTGAACCAAGTTCTATCTTTTTGAATAGTTTTTAACAGCTTTTAAAGTTTTGATCTAGTTTTGATTTATTTAAGGGACTTCTATTGGAATATTTACGTTATTATGCTAATATTTTTCTTTAGGAGGTTAGTGTTTGCATTTCCTTTGTAAGAATAAACATTTAATTTCAAAAAAACCCGCTCTTTATCAATCTTAATCTCTTTATCCATCTCTTTATCAATCTTAACACTACTTTTTTAGTGGTTTATCGTGCTTAGATCAAAGTTTATCGTGCTTAGATCAAAGTTTATCGTGCTTAGATTAAAGTTTATCGTGCTTAGATCAAACGCCACGAAAAGCTAAACTCCACTGGCGTACAACGTAAAGGATAGCTATCCTTTAAAACGTTTTAAATCAATTTAACTTTCAAAAACTTTACACGTTGAGCGGATTTGGTCGCGAGTTGCTCTGCCAGCTGTACGGGTCCTTTCTGCAAAGAAAATCGAAGAGAATTAACCATTTTTTTTTTCATTTAGAGGGAATTTTCCTTTGTTAAACAAAATTAGGAAAAAGGATAGCTTTTTAGAAAAGAAAACAAATGATAAAGTCAACTTTCAATAGAGCTTAGAATTTTTCGAATTTAGTAGAGCTATTTTGACGAATTTAGTAGAGCTATTTTGACTAGCACTTTGAAAAGTAAAGGAAATGAAATTTTTATTTGAGAAATTTCTTTTCAAAAAGTCTAACATAAGATAAATAATTTCAAATCTAATAGTCTAATAGTCAAATCTAATCTATTGTCATTCAAATCTAATAGACTTCAAAATTTTCTATTAAAAGTTGACTGGATAGTTTTTTGAAAATAAAGAAATAAACTGATTAAAGAAGCCATGCAAAACAATTTTGTTTGGAAAACCAACCCTCCATAGCCACCGCCAATCTCATCGTCGCTAGACATCACCTGGAAATAAATGTAAAAATGTAAAAAACTTCAGTTTTATTTTTGAAGTTTCAAAAGTATTGATATCAAAGCTTTGGCTTTGGCTTTGAGCTTTGGCTTTGAGCTTTGGCTTTGAGCTTTGGCTTTGAGCTTTGGCTTTGAGCTTTGGCTTTGAGCTTTGGCTTTGAGCTTTGGCTTTGAGCTTTGGCTTTGAGCTTTGGCTTTGAGCTTTGGCTTTGAGCTTTGGCTTTGAGCTTTGGCTTTGAGCTTTGGCTTTGAGCTTTGGCTTTGAGCTTTGACTTTCCATTCAAGCATCGCGCAAGCCTTACAAGAACAAAAAAGATATCTTGATAAAGATTTAGTGGCAGTGTATGGAATAATAAAAAACTTGTTTTTTGCTCTTTATTAGCTCAAGTATTTTTTATTGATATTTTTTGTTCTTGTAAGGCTTGGGCGATGCTTGAATGGAAAGCGCAAAGCCAAAGCTAAAAGCCAACGCTAAAAGCCAAAGCTCAAAACCAAAGCTCAAAGCTCAAAGCCAAAGCCAAAAGCCCAAGCTCAAAGCCAAAGCTCAAAGCCAAAGCTAAAAGCCAACGCTAAAAGCTCAAAGCCAAAGCTCAAAGCCAAAGCTTTAAAGGTCTAGAAAATGAATTCAGTGAAAGACTTAGTACTCAACCTATTGGATTGGTGAATTGAAAACTGCCGGCTATTGGTCATATGTCACAGTTTGAGGACTTTCTTCAAAAGAAGCCCATTTTGGTGTCAATGGAAAAGTTGTAGAGAATCAAAAATTAAGCTTATAACCAAATTTTCAGAACGATTCAAAAACTGGTTTTCAAGAAATGCCAAATTTACACAAAACTTGCATTTTAAGCAAAACTACTAAGTGTTTCTTTTTGGAAATTTGGCTATAAGCCTAATTTTTGATTCTCTACAACTTTTCCATTGACACCAAAATGGGTTTCTTTTGAAGAAAGTGCTCAAACTGTCACATATGACAATAGCCCGCAGTTTTCAATTCACCAACCCAATAATACCAATTTTCGCAACCTAACTTACCTTGTAGGCAGTGGTGACAGCCAAGAGAGCGGCTCCCATCCAACACAATGTGCCACCCATGTGCAAATAGAAAGCGTAACCGATTCGTTGCTAAAATTGAAGTTATTTTCGCTATTTTCATTTTCTTACTAGATTTGTTTATCATTTTTAGAGATATCGTTAAATTTTGGAAAACTAGAACATTCAAGCCTATTGCATAAGCTAAAATCACAGCTTGAAAGCCAAGATAAGCTTGAAACTCAAAGATTTCAAAGAATTTTAAACCCAAAAAGCTTCTTTATCATAATGAAACGTTTTTTTAACAGTTTACAACTTAGTGCTTGTTCTTTAAAAACTATTTTAAGCTATTCAGTTTACTCAAAACCGGATCAAACCTCATAAGTGCCGACCATTCCCTGCACGAAGCGATTGTCGACGCGGTTTGCCGCCAAGAAAAACACTCCATCAGCGATCACCGATAGGACAACTGGAAAAGCACTTTGTGATTTCACGAGTAAAATTTGATCATTAAATTTGATCATTAAATTTGCACAGCTTTTGTTTTGCCTTTTTTACAGCAGCTTCAAGACAAATGGAGTACGCTAAATGGAGTACGCTGATGGAGTACAAATGGAGTACGCTAGATGGGTTGGGTTTTCATTTTTGAAGTCGAATTGAGCACTAGTGTTGGGTAAGTTTGTTACATGTTGAGCTTTTTGAAAATTGCTTTGTGGTTTAATCGGTATTTGTTTGGTACATTACATTATATTGTTACATTTCATTGTAACATTACATTGTAACATTAAATTGTAACATTCCACTGTAACATTCCACTGTAACATTCCACTGTAACATTACATTGTAACATTACATTGTAACCTTACATTGTAACCTTACATTGTAACATTTCATTGTAACATTACATTGTAGCCTTACATTGTAACATTTCATTGTAACATTCCACTGTAACATTTCACTGTAACATTACATTGTAACCTTACATTGTAACATTTCATTGTAACATTACATTGTAACCTTAAATTGTAACATTCCACTGTAACATTCCACTGTAACATTACATTGTTACATTACATTGTAACATTACATTGTAACACTCCATTGTAACATTACATTGTAACCTTACATTGTAACATTCCACTGTAACATTCCATTGTAACCTTACATTGTTACATTCACGCATGTCATCTTAATCAGGTCTAGCTTTAGTTGAAACTAGTAGTCACTGTAGGTTTTCAATTTTTGCAATTAGAAATATTTTGGTGTTATTTTAAGTAAAATGGTAACAGATTGATGTCCAAGCCCCAAATCCCAATTTTCATGAACAAACCAGCGACAATCGAGCAAATCGTGAAGCCAAGTGAAGCTGTGGGGATACATGGAGTGCATGCGCCGCAACACATCGAAACCATGGCCACAATTTGCGATGTGATGATACAGAAGAGGATGATCTTGTGCCAAGCTGAAATATGATAGCTAGAGTATCATAAAACTTAAGAAGCACACATGTTTATTTGTAAATTGTACTTTACGTTCGGATTTTCAACACGATTTACGAATAAACGAATGTTCCTTACGTTTACTTAATCGTTATTGATCTTTTTTTGAGTGAAGTAGTTAGATTTTTATGTAAGAGTTAGAGGTTTTATGTAAGAGTTAGTAAGAGTAAGTTAGTACAAGAGTTAGAAGTAATCAAAGAATGGTATTATTGGAATTAATGCTAGAAAAAAAGAGCTAGAAAAAAGAGCAAGAAAAAAAAGCGTTGTTTCAAGTATTCGTGGATGAATTAGAAAGCTTGAATCTAATTCTTTCTTGCAAAAGTACCCCAGAATCGATGGTGTTCACTTTCTCCAGCCGCTCCATCCTCATCAATGTTCCTCAACGTGTTGTCGATGACCAATTCGGCCGAGTTGTCAAACTGAAAAAGAAAATGGAGATTTTCAACGAAAGGAAGACCATGTGTATTCTTCTAATTTCATTAAGGTGCTAAGAAATAATCGTATTTCTGAACTGAACCAATTTTTGAACCAACTGAATCAATCATTTGAATTTGATTGAAATCAATCAAATTTCAATCTACAACCACAAGTACAGGTGAAGACGCTTGATAATATTATAAAGTACAGGTAAAGATGCTTGATAATATTATAAAGTACATCTGGAGACGCTTGATAATATTATAAAGTACATCTGGAGACGCTTGATAATATTACAAAGTACATCTGGAGACGCTTGATAATATTATAAAGTACAGCTGGAGACGCTTGATAATATTGTAAAGTACAGCTGGAGACGCTTGATAATATTATAAAGTACATCTGGAGGCGCTTGATAATATTACAAAGTACATCTGGAGACGCTTGATAATATTACAAAGTACATCTGGAGACGCTTGATAATATTATAAAGTACATCTGGAGACGCTTGATAATTAAACTTTTAAACTTATAAACTTTTAAATGCTCACCTTGTACATGCAATGCAATGGCTCCTCATCATAGAAATCCCCGACAGCCACAACGTGTTTCTCGGCTCGAATACAGTCCCACCAAAGGCCGTGCTGAAAGAAAAGTTTATGAAATGAAATGAAAACGTAGAAATACATAGAAAGCTGCGATTTTTCAGCTTTATTTCATTTCAAAATCCACCTGGTGTTCAGCTCGAAACTCCCGAATCTCAACGATTTGCCATGCCGGCGAGAACACTCCGGCTATCGTCAGCACCAAGCCTGCAACAATAGTTGTTTCAAAAATTAGTTTTTCAATATATTCTTGAAGCTGGTGTGAACTTTATTGAAAATCTTTACCTCCTAAGATCAGTGATATTGTGAGAAATAAGAAGAGCTTTTGCTGTAACATTGACACCATATTTTCTGAAAAGAATAGCTTTAGATTTATCTAAATTTAAAAAGAAAAAAGATTGAGCTTTACAGGCTATGTTGATTTGAGCAAAAATTAACTAATCAATACCAAATAGGAATTGATTAGCAAGCTTTTGTACTAAGAAATGAGTGTAAAAGCTGTTTATGCTAAGAAAGATAGCTTGAAATTCGTAGAGTGTACCAGCAAGTGTTGAAAAGGTAAAAATTGTTAGAAAAAATGTTTCTAAATAGGTACTGGGTTTCTTTTGCTTATTTTCCTAGGAGTGAAGAGTCCCAGGAGAAACCAGGAAACAAGTTCAAAGGATAGCTTGAAATTCGTAGAGAATAATGCACCAGCAAGTGTTGAAAAGGTAAAAATTGTTAGAAAAGACGTTTCTAAATAGGTACTGGGTTTCTTTTGCTGATCTTTCTAGGAGTGAACAGTCTCAAGGGAAAAAAGGAAACAAGTTCAAACGCAATCGCATTGTTCTCTCAGTTGCCTGACTGGATATAGAAGCTGTGGAGAAGAAAATTGAAGGCAAAAATTTTCTACAATTTCCCCAGGTGACTGCCCAGAGTCGGAACCTATCTATCCTCAGAATGTGCCAGATGGAGAGCGATTACGCGGCCGTACAAAGAACGCACAAAGAACACCTCGTCAATCTAGTTTTTTGTTTGTAGATGGCTCAAAAAAGAAGCTATTTAGCTGTAAATTTGTACCCAGGGGTTTTCAGGATCGCCGAATCGATTGGCGATATTCATTTTATTGATTCTTTAGCCTATTTCTTCAGGAAAACAGATCAGTGCAGGAGTAAGGCGAGGAATTGATCGATTTTACAGCTTGGGTGGTCATTTTCTCTTGGCTATACGCTAGTTGAAGATTTCAAGGTCGTCAACAAACACTGCCTGGGTATGAGGGAAAGGAAAAAGAAGGGAAACGAGGCATTTGACGGTAAAAAATGGAGAGAAATCGACGATTTGTTTACAAAACATTGAGTTTTTGGTTTCTCAGGGTGAATATTTTGATGGCTATAGTCAAGAAAGGGGTATCTTTGATTGTAAAAAGTAAATAAATAGTAAATATTTGAAAAAAAATGAAGAAGCCAATTTGTTGAATGTCTTTTTTCATTTCAAATTCGTAAGTTTCAAATTTTTCAATTTTAACTCCTTTTGGGGAATTAAGTTTCAAATTCGCGCTTTCAAATTCGCGCCCCCCACCCCCCCCCCCCCCCCCCCCCCCCCCCCCCCCCCCCCCCCCCCCCCAACCCCCCCCCCAACCCCTTAACGGCTTCGCTTAAGCGCTAGTTTTATCAGATTTGAAAATACGACTTTAAATTCAGCTTGTTAGGAAAATAAAGCAGTTAAACATATGTTAGTAGAAGAATTTTTCAAAAAAAATACGCTTTTTAAAGAAATGGCTTTCAAAGAAAAGTTGCAATGATCGTTTTTTTTTCACAAGAAGCAAGTTTCAAGCTCATTTAAGTTATATTTAAAATATGGAGTCATAACAAGCACAATAAGTTGGACTTTTAACTGAAACAGATTTCAAATTAGATCAAAAATCCATTTGATTTTGTAATGAGTAAGCTTTTCACCCCGAAAAAAAACTTAAACTGATTCAATGAAGTCTTGATAACGTTTAGAAACGTTTAGAAACGTTTAGAAAAGATTTCAGAAATTTGTAGAGGCTAAATTTTTACTTTTAAAGTCAAATTTAACCAAAGGAAAGTCAAATTTAAGTCAAATTTAATAAGGAAACTCGCGTAGTTGGTTTTTTATATATAAAAAATAGAGTTTCAAAGGATAGAAAAGAGCAAAATAAAAAGCAGAGCAAAAGCAAAGAAAAAGCAAAGAAAAAGCAAAGCATAAGAATAAGCATAAGCAAAGCATAGACATAAGCAAAACATAGGCATAAGCAAAGCATAGGCATAAGCAAAGCATAAGAATAAGCAAAAGCAAAGCAAAATCAAAGCATAAGCAAAGCAATCAAAGCATAAGCAAAGCAAAAACAAAAACAAAGCAAAAGTAAAGCAAAAGTAAAGCAAAAGCAAAGAAAAAAGCAACACAAAAAACAGTAAAATCTTAATAAGAAAACAAGTAAATTTTAAATAAATGCTAAAAAAGAATCTGAAAATGAATGGATTACCGTATTTTCTGTAATAGTAGTGCAGTCTATAATAGTAGTGCAGTCTGTAATAGTAGTGCAGTCTGTAATAGTAGTGCAGTCTGTAATAGTAGTGCAGTCTGTAATAGTAGTGCAGTCTATAATAGTAGTGCAGTCTGTAATAGTAGTGCAGTCTGTAATAGTAGTGCAGTCTATAATAGTAGTGCAGTCTGTAATAGTAGTGCAGTCTGTAATAGTAGTGCAGGCTGGAGGGGGCTTGAAAAAATAGTAGTGCGCACTACTATTACAGAAAATACGGTAGTTAAAAATAATATTGCAAAAAGTATGTCGACACTTAAAAAAGCTAAATTTCAATATTTAACTATGAGCTAATTTTGAAAGTCTCTGAGCGCCTTCTGAGCGCTTGGAGCGGAGTGGTAGCCTAGTTTTGAAAGTCTAGCCTTTCTAAACGCATTTCTAAACTCATTTGAGAAATAATTCTGTAAACGAAGCTCAATGATTATGCGAAAATTGGGATCACCACCAAATCGACCTAAATCGATGGGAAAAGAAGAGAAATCTATGGAATTTCCTTTTTGGATTCATTACCCAATCTATCCTCACACAATATCCATTTAGAGATCTTGATCAGATCAAAGAAATGGGAAAGGAAAAGGGGCTATAAATTGGAATGGAGCTGAGAGAATTCATCCAAAAACCCACAAAATAGTTTACTTTAAGAAAAGGTCAAGTGAAAATAAAAAAGAAAAAGCTGAAATTTCGTGCCGTTTTTATTCTTGACTTGTTTTAAAATGCGGAAAAAGTTCGTTAAACATCAATTATTTTTGATTTTTGAAGTTTGAAGTTTGAAGTTTTTGAAGTTCTGAAGATTTTGATGTTCTGAAGTTTTTGATGTTCTGAAGTTCTGAAGATTTTGAAGTTTTTAATGTTCAAATATTGCTTGGTTTTGAGTGCTTTGAAACCTGACTTGTACGTGTTAAAAATAGCAATAATACTGTAGACTTAGAATAGAATGGACAATGGTCACATGCCACATATAGGCACCTACATTCTATCGTTTATATTTTATATCGACCAATAGAAGGACCAATAGAATGGACAATGGCCACATGCCACTCTATACAACTTGGAAAGCTACACAGCTACACAGCTATACAGCTCTACAGCTACACAGCTATACAGCTACACAGCTATACAGCTATACAGCTCTACAGCTACACAGCTCTACAGCTACACAGCTCTACAGCTACACAGCTCTACAGCTACACAGCTCTACAGCTCTACAGCTCTACAGCTACACAGCTATACAGCAGCCGGAGTCGAACCCACATGGATTCACGCGTAGGCGAACGCCTACGAACCGCGGCGCTAACCACTATACTAAGTTCGTTAAACATCAACGACTAAGAGGCTGCGCGAAAGCTCCTCCAGATTAAGCTAGATTACTGTTTGGCGAAACTTTGAAGGCTCAAGCTCAAGCCATCTTAAAAATGGCTTATGATAAGTAGGCTTTGAAAGAAGAAGTTTTTCCAGGGAGTATTGGAAACAGATTACTTCTGAAATCTAACTTCAATGGATTTCCTGGTTAGCTGTACAAGAGATGAATCGATAAGAGTCTTAAAAGATTGTCGGCTGAGAGGAGAATGGATGAAATGGGTGGGGAGAGAGCCTTGTTTGGCTCGAATTCAAAACGATGTCAGAGCAAAGAAAAAGGGAATGGATTGAAGAAAAGAAAGGGAAAAGAGGAAAAGATGAGAAATTAAAGGTGGAGATCTTGTAGAAGTCCTTTAGAGAAATAGGAAACTGTAGGGAATTCTCTTTTTCTCTTTTTATTCTCATTTATTTTCTTGAAAAGATAAAAACGAGAAAAACCTCTTGTGCAAAACAGTGCAAAAAGTGCAAAACAACAAACACAAACATATTTACTTACAAATGTTGATTATGTAGAGGAATTCTTTGAGTAAATTAACAAGTTAACTGATGATGTTTGAGAAAACGGGTGCTTAAAGTCTTATGTTTCAAGATGGGGATCTTTCAAGATCTTTTTTTTATCTGTCTTCGCACACAGGTGTTCCTATCTTGCGCAGATCACAAACCTGCTTCCACATTTCTCTATCCCTTGCTATTGTCATCCAGTGTTTCCTAGCTTGATTGTTCCTGGTTCGAAGTCTTTCGACTTGCTGGTGCTGGTGGTGGTTGCACTCTAGCCATCATTTCTCTGATCTCAATCACTTCCACTGAATCTCTGAGTCCCGAGAGCTGGCGCATATCCGTACTTCTTAGGTCTTGGTCGAGCTGCGGATCAAGATCTTTGCGTTTTTTTTTTCTGAATTAAACAATCTCAATTAGTCTAGAGAGAAGAATAATAGCTGATTTTGTAAAAAAAGAACGAGCTTTCTGCAAGAAGATCACTAATATTGAATGGAGAAATTGCTAAGCAAGATAAGCAACTCGTTGATGTTTTTTGTTATTTCAATGATAGTTAAAAACGCAGAACTTGATCTAAAGAGATCAAAAGTTGTTAGCAATCATCAAAATCCGTCAAACAGTAAGCTTAGTTGCAAGTAGAATAGCTATAGAACCAGTTACACTATAAAAGTTGTAGCTCTGTCGTTGAGCTACTACAGCAAAAGTGAATTCAAAGAAAGTAACAATATGAAAATGAAAACAAACTCGTCTGGAAATGTTTATGAAAAAGAAGATTAGGGAAATGGTGTTTGAATGGAAAAGAAATACTGGGAAATCAAGGAAAAGATGGGAAAAGGAGGGAAAAGGAGGGAATTGAGGGTTGAGCGGAGGAATCGAAGGGGGACAGGTCACTGGGAGGAGTGGTAGGCCTGGGGTGGATGGGGTGAGGCTGAGGGTGAGGCTGAGGCTGTGAG